CTCCCACCTATTGTGTTTACTGCTTTATGGCCATCGACTCTCCCTAATCTGTCTCTAAAAAAGACCAGAAGTTACTTGTGCTTCCCCATTATGCCAAAGCTGAAACATTTCCAGCTATTTTGAATTTGTTAATTAGTCTTTTAACTGTCACAAATTTTCCTATGTGATAGCCAGGCAAAGACTGCAGTCCTATGGCATCTCTGTAGCCAAAACACTGCTTGCATTGCCTTTTTTCACAACAAAAGCTGAGATTCCAACTGAGAGATTCCCCACTGCAGACTCCACATGGTTGGGTTGGAATTTGCTTATCACCTCCCCCTTATCTTCTGTTTTTCCAGATGCAGATAAGTGCTTAGACTATTTTCCCCATGAAACAAGTGCTGTTTGTTTGAGATTGCCACATATGATATTTCTCATTTCTTTTATAATTATGGTGATGTTTTGTAATTGAATTCTTACTCCTGGCACCACTGGCATAATCTCCATGGGCATTTCAAGCTGCAGTCTGAACTCTGTGGGCCACATTTCCATTCTACTATGTAGGACTCCATTACATTTAGTACTGTACTGTTAGCTCAGATACTGGCTTAACTAGAGATGGGCCCCAAGCTGCAAAATTCAAATCTGGATCTGGACCCAAACTTCAGACATGTTCATATCTGGGATTTTGGGTTAGCCTTATCTGAAATCTTAATTTGTTATTAACTATACTTTTATGGGGAATAAATCACTGCATATAATTTTATACAGTGTTCTCTCAGCAGTAATGCAGTACCATATGAAACACCTGAAGAAGTGAGCTGTAGCCCACGAAAGCTTATGCTGAAATAAATGTTAGTCTCTAAGGTGCCACAAGTACTCCTGTTCTTTTTGCAAATCCACATAGTCTCCCCAGCTACATGAGCAGCTTGATACAGTCAAGAAGATACAGTTTGTGTTTGGAACTATGGTGAGAAGTTAATTTTCAGTCGTGGTGAAAGTTCAGGACCTTTATCATCTCGGTAGGAAAGTGCGGTAGGGAAGCTGTGTGAAGTGCATCACAAAATTCAAATGGCAAGTCAAAAAAAAAAAAAGATGATAGTAGTCATATTGTTCTGCAGCACTTCTTCCATTTCTGTTATTCATTAAACTATCATCCTGTACTTCTGCAAAGGATAGCAGATAAGCATCTATCTTTTAAAAAGAGCATAGTGAAAACTACATCATCTCACTTCAGAAAATAAATATTGTGTCTGCCATTTGGAGTTCTCTTCTGTGAGCTGCATTAGAAGCAATTGTAGGGAGTCCCTCCACACAATTTAGTATTCAGACACAAATGATAAAAATATGAAAGCCCTCAACAAAGCTTCCATTATGCTTGGCAGTAGTTGCCACATTGGTTGGTGCTCTCAGCAGAGAAATGATAGGAGATGGAGACTGATCAGTCCATTGAGTGGTTTGCATTTAGGGTGGGGAAGATTGCACTGGCAATGACCCTGCTTTACCTTTTCAACTGAAAAGTTAAAACAGTGGGTCTCAACCAGGGGTCCGGGACCCCCTGGGGGGCTGTGAGCAGGTTTCAGGGGGTCCGCCAAACGTCTGACATTAGACTTGCAGGAGCCCAGGGCAGAAAGCTGAAGCCCCACCGCCTGGGGCTTAGCCCTGGGCCCCGAAGACCGCCACTCAGGGCTGAAGCCAAAGCCTGAGAAACTTAGCTTTGTGGTGCTCCCTGTGGCGCGGGACCCTGGGCAACTGCCCTGCTTGCTATCTCCTAAGGCTGGCCCAGGCTTTTGTATGCAGAAAAACAGTTGTGGCACAGGTGGGCCGTGGAGTTTTTATAGCTTGTTGAGGGAGCCTCAGAAAGAAAAAGGTTGAGAACTGTTGCGTTAAAAGACTTTGCTCTCCAATATGGTACCTTTCACAATTAATTAATTCAGTGTAAAATTAAAACTGATATGCCACCACGTACCTGGATCAAACTGAATGAGCTTAGAGGGAGTCACAGTAAAATCCTTTCCCAATGTAGCAGTCACTTCATTAACCTAAGAAGAAATTAAACAGAAAATACCATACAATGGAGAAGCTCGATCTTTCCAAATCTTTTTAGTCTATTTAACCAGACCAATGCATTCTAATGAATGCTGCAACCTTCTGTGGATATTCATCACTATACTCTATCTATAAGATCTCAAAAGCACACACAGTATTGTACAATACACTGTGACACTTGAGTGAGAAAAGAAATAGGAAGAAAAATAAATCTTGCCAGTTTAAACAGGAGGGGAAAAAAACCAATTCCAACCTCGCCTTTGGGTTAAAAGTCATAATATAAAAGCTTATTGTGCATCTTGTCCTTTCACTTCTCAAATCACTACATAAATAGCATCATTTAGCATTTTTATTCAACAAAATCTGGGGCCATAGCTCTAGGTGGCACCTGGAGACAGATATAATAGCTCTCTGAAAGTGTACACTGTACAGTTGGCCTGGGTGATTGGAACTGGGGTTAGCCTAGCCAGAGTAAAAGCATCCTCACAACCTTCCTGCATTACTGTGTCCTCATTGTTTCTGCACTCACCTGTGTGTGTCTGGGAGCATATCCCATAGTTCTGTGCACGAATATGCTCTGGGATTCTTTCCCGGTCAATTGCAGGAGAATTTGTCTGTCCCTTGGGGGAATTGTGGGAAGGGCATTTGAGGATTATCAGATGTTGAGAGATCTTACCGCCGCTGGTATCCTACTGCAAAGTTGGTGGGTTCCAGCCCAAGATAAAACACTGCTTGGGCTTTAAACCACACCCCCGGCTCTGCAAGCAAGCATGGGTTGCAAAGTGCAAATAAGCACAAGCTTGAGGGTTGTTCATGTGGAGGTAGAGGGTGTGTGGCAAAAATACGGGGAGGAGCACAGTCTAAGGTGTGGATATACCCAAACAGTGCATTGTTACATTACATCAGCATTACTGTGTGCCAGCATCCAGCCCTTCACATCGGGGCCTTGTACTCCCATTTCTACTGAGAGTAGAAATAGTTTGTGTGCAGGGCTATCCATGGGCACCATTGCCTAGTCAGGGTGGGCATTTACATATACATGCAGAAGCATGGGGAATAATGGCTCTCCATGACTTTTCAGAGGAGGCAGAATTTGGGAGGCCAATTTCCATCCTGTATTCTTACTTCCGGGCTTGATTTATCTGGCCTACAACTGCCATATGCTCAGTACCAACCAGAATACGACCCTTAGAGTGTAAACCAGCAGTTCTCAATCCGCAGGCCGCATGCGGCCCGATTAGCATACATCTGCAGCCCATGAGCATAGGGGTGTGCGGTGATGAGCATAGGATGTGGGTGTGGGACACTGGTTCTCAACCTGTGGCCCAGGTAACACTTTGAGGGCTGCATGTGCGGCCCACAATGATAAATAGGTTGAGAACCACGGGTGTAAACACTCCTATGCATGATAAAGGGGAAAACAGCCTGAGATACACCATTTTGGATCCAATCTTGCCCCCACTGAAATCAATGGCAAAATTTCCACTGACCTCAATGAGGATGGGATCAAACTCTATGTTTTCAGTTAGAACTATTTACTGCCATCAGTCTACAACTCCTGATCTAGCTGTGTTATAAGCTGCTGAACAAAAACATGCTATGCTAGCCCGAGAAACTGTATTAGCACTGTACTAGCAAGAACAGGGTCTTGACAAACACAGCTTGAACCATATGGCCTTTTTGCTGATATAGTGCATGATTACTTGCTTACCAACCCAATCAAACAGCTCATGTATTTATAAGAAGGAAAGCAACTGCCTCAGACCATTATTCCACGTCCGAACTTTATTTTTTAACCTTACCTTCACTGCAATAAAGGCAGAGTCCATGGAGTGCCCCAATCTGGTGATTTTCAAAGACAACATTCCCACATTCTCACACACCACGTACTCAGCCTGTTGCATTTCAATTTGAGACCACCTCAGTTCCAGACTGTAGGGGGGAGGAAAGAAAATCTGTGTGAAAAACTCTTTTGCAGTCCACAGGGATCCCTCCTGCTGACTGCTGACTATGGCTTTGGTACAGGTGACATTTCTCTCTTGATTGTTGATTCCGTGAATACACACACAGAGTTTCTGTTTTCAAATCAGTGGGTTTGTTTGTGAGATTGTGTTAATTAGAGATAGGAGAAACAGTTAAATAAATTAAGAATTCCAGCTGAGTCTTCACCTACCCACTGAACCAAATGTGAACATCTTCTCAGGGCCACTGAAGTCAGTAGAAGTTTCGTCATGAACTTCAATGGGACCAAGATCTGATCCTAAGATCTGTTTGGCTAAGCCAGACTCTCTCTCCTGCTTGATTTCAAATAAGGCAATTGTTTCTTCCCTCCATTTAATTTTATTTTACTGTGACTCTCCAGTATTCTCCCTGTATCATCACCTCTTCCTTCTTACAGCTCTGCCTGGATCCAGCCCCCGTTCCCACTCAGCATGCCCCACTCCTCCCACAGGCAACTCTGGCTGCCTTTCAAACCAGCCCCCACAAATTGCTGAATTCAAATCTTGTCTAAAACGCCCCATAGAATCACTTAGGAGGGAATTGGGCTAGACTTATTGTAAAGTCACAAGCTGGGAATGGTTGTGGAGAAAAACATGGGATGAGCCCTCTCGAAGGGTTGAGCTTAAAGAAGGGGGTGAGTGGAGAGTCAGAGATGAAATGAGAGAATGCCTCAGCTATGCCACTTATGAATCATTATCTAGAAAGCTTCCAAACTTTTGGGGTATGATGACCATCTCTAGTGCTATTGGATGTTACACACACACACACACACACACACAAAGCCTTGGGCACTAATGGGAAAACAAACCCCTTCTGAACCAATTTGTAAAGTCGGTAATGTACGGACTGTTTGTATACCAGGTGTAATGTTAGTATGGGGGCTGTTGGAAATGGTTTCACATCAGAGGCTTAACGGATAAAAATTGATATTATAAATGTATGCCTTGAAGAAGAGCAATGAGGCCTTTGCATATTTCTGTGGAGCACTAGGACCCCGAGGATGCATTGGTGAGTGCTTTGAAACCCCAATGTCAATCATCCATCATTCCTGCACTGAGCTCCTCTTTGGCAATGTCTTTACACCTTACTGCATCTGATGTGATTTCCTGAGTATCGTTCTTGTCTCAGGGCTTTGCTACATGAGGAAACTGACTGGCATAGCCATAGCATAAATACTATTCCAATATAGCTATTCTGGAATAACTCCCCCATGAGAACACTCAGTTCCAAAATAAAGATGATTTTATTCATCTAATTAATCCAGAATAAAATTACTTTTATTTCAGAACTCAGTGCTTATACAGGGGAGTTATTTTGGAATAGCTAAATTATACCAGACTAGATATAGAAGAATAGATATTGCTCTGCAGCTATGCCAGGAAACTCCTCCAATGTACAGAAGGTCTAAGTTACATGCTAAGAGTCACATGGCAGGGACCTTTAATTTTTCACGTACTGTAAAGCACACTGTATAGCACTAGGAATAAGAATAGTCACCCTCAGCCTATCCACATTTCAGGAAATGTTCAAAGTCTGATCCCGTAGTAATTCAGCATCATTCAAATAAATGTTTGTGCTTTTATTGAAATGATATGCACTTTCAAGTCACCACAGTTTTTTGAGTGTGCTATCATTGTATTACACATTCAAATAAACCAACTCCACCATTTGAATGCAATGTTAAATTTGGAGTTTTTCATTAAAAAACGAACACCCTGGTATCTTGGCCAAACTCCCGTCCAGTTAATTACTGTACTTTCTACCTCTCTAAAATTCCCCCTGAATTTTCAGTGTGAGAAGCTGTTATTCTTCAGCTTCCTTCCTAAAAAGATGTGTTGCATTGGTACTGACATACAATAATTCCCAGGTTCCACCCCAGAGTTGGCTGCATCAAAATGGTGGGTAAGTGGCCTTTATATACATAGTGAAAAAATGTGTACAATGATTATTCATCTTTGAGAATGTATAGTGCTATAACAAAGTGCCTAGGTTAGCCATATTCATATGAGGTTGACTACAGAGACATCTACTGACATAGTCTGGTACTGCATTAACTTCAACCCCAACTATTGATGCCTTTTCTCACTACTCCATGGTGAAGCAGTGGTCAGTTAGTTCTTGTGAAATCAACCGTCTCTCTTTTCCCTTCTTTTTTAATTCCACGGGATCTGGTTTGTAGACACCAAGTGTAGCACATGTAGGATAGCCCTGGTTATCTTTCTTGCTCACTTCAAATTAAACAAGTTGGCTGAACACTCAGTTGAATTTTCAGAAATGAAATAGAAACAGTTCTAGCCACATAGAATTTTGCTTATTTGCTGAATTAACTAAAAGTGTGAATGTAAACTAAATAAGTTAAATTGCATTAAACCCCTGTATTGACATTCTCATTCAGAATTAAAGTGGTCTTGATTCGGGTTAGCTTAATTTACTTCCAAAGTGATGCTGTCTCCTTCATTAGTTATTGTTATCAGAGAACATTTTAGCTGAAATGAGGGAAACAAATGAACTGATTCCCCAGTATCATATCAACTAATACACACACACACACACACCCCGGATTCATGGGGTTTATCACAGGCTAAGGTGAAACTTCAGTGGGTGCCTGTTAAAATGTTGGGAAGAAGAGGGTCCCTGCATTTTCTCCCCTCAATCTACCCATGAAAAATATAGCCCATAGAGTTTTTATTACTTGATGTTTTCTATTTGTTGCTTTGGAAAGGCCATTGCTCTCAGCACAGGCTTAGAGTGACCTCCAGCTGCAAGAGCATGTATGTGAAGCTGACAACCTGGCCCAAGGCAGTATTTGAACTCTAAGTTTATGGGCCTCATTCTCATTACGGTCCCTTTATACCTCTCTGAAAGGAAAATGTAAAAGGGAGAATCAGAGTGTGTGCGTGTGCGCGCATGGTCATGTATTGTGAGAAATGTGGCATTTAACTGAAAACTGTTCCTTTGTATTTCTTCAATCTAAAAGGACATAAGAACATAAAAATGGCCATACTGGGTCAGACCAAAGGTCCATCCAGCCCAGTATCCTGTCTATTGACAGTGGCCAATGCCAGGTGCCCCAGAGGGAGTGAACCCAACAGGCAATGATCAAGTGATATCTCTCCTGCCATTCATCTCCACCCTCTGACAAACAGAGGCTAGGGACACCCTTCCTTACCCATCCTGGCTAATATCCAATAACGGACTTAAATTCATGGAGGTTATCCAGTTCTCTTTTAAACCCTGTTATAGTCCTAGCCTTCACAACTTCCTCAGGCAAGGAGTTCCACAAGTTGACTGTGCGCTGTGTGAAGAAGAACTTCCTTTTATTTGTTTTAAACCTGCTGCCCATTAATTTCATTTGGTGGCCCCTAGTTCTTGTATTATGGGAACAAGTAAATAACTTTTCCTTATTTACTTTCTCTACAACACTCATGATATCTCTATCATATCCCCTCTTAGTCTCCTCTTTTCCAAGCTGAAAAGTCCTAGCCTCTTTAATCTCTCCTCATATGGGACCCGTTCCAAACCCCTAATCATTTTAGTTGCCCTTCTCTGAACCTTTTCTAATGCCAGTATATCTTTTTTGAGATGAGGAGACCACATCTGTACGCAGTATTCAAGATGTGGGCATACCATGGATTTATACAAGGGCAATAAGATACTCTCTGTCTTATTTTCTACCCCCTTTTTACTGATTCCTAACATCCTGTTTGCCTTTTTGACCGCCGCTGCACACTGCGTGGACATCTTCAGAGAACTATCCATGATGACTCCAAGATCTTTTTCCTGATTCGTTGTAGCTAAATTAGCCCCCATCGTATTGTATGTATAGTTGGGGTTTGTAGAAAGTCCGGACTCACCCCTGCGGCGCCTCCTGCTGGTCATCCAGGGAATTAGCTCACCAGCCTCTCGAGCGCCCTCTGCAGGCCGGTGATCCGTCTGTCCTCTTCTGGCACCCGTGTCCCTCCCAGGACCCAGTGCCCCTATTACTGGGATGCTGCCTCCTGGCAGTACCCCACAGATCTGGGTCTCCCCTCCCTGGGGAACCCCCACCCACTATCCCCACCTTGCCTCAGCACTAGGCCACTGCCAGTCACCAACTAGCCCCCGCTCCCTGGGGCAGACTGCAGTATAGGCCACTCATCACTGGCAAGGGGGGGTTTGGACCTGCTGCCCCAGTCTAGCCGTGGGCTGCCCTCTGCAACCCCCAGTACCCCTTGGCCTAATACTAGGCCGCAGCCTGGGGCTTTCCAGGCTGGAGCTCCCCAGCTCCTCAGCTTTTCCCCAGCCCTGCTCCACTACAGGTACCCTGTGTCTAGCGCCCTGCAGACAGGCCCTTCTCTCCCTGAACGCAGAGAGAGATTCGTGAGCTCCTGGCTCCCAGCCTCTTTATATAGGCCAGCTGAGTCCGTTTGGGGCGTGGCCCCAGCTGCAGCCACTTCCCCCAATCAGCTCAGTAGCTGCTTGCTCCCTGGGCTATCTCAAGCCCTTCCAGGCAGGAGCAGGTATCCACCCTGCTACAGGGTTATTTCTTCCAATGTGCATTACTTTACATTTATCCACATTAAATTTCATTTGCCATTTTGTTGCCCAATCACTTAGTTTTGGGAGATCTTTTTGACGTTCTTCACAGTCTGCTTTGGTCTTAACTATCTTGAGCAGTTTAGTATCATCTGCAAACTTTGCCACCTCACTTTTTACCCCTTTCTCCAGATCATTTATGAATAAGTTGAATAGGACTGACTCTTGGGGGACACCACTTGTTACCCCTCTCCATTCTGAGAATTTACCATTTATTCCTACCCTTTGTTCCCTGTCTTTTAACCAGTTCTCGATCCATGAAAGGACCTTCCATCTTATCCCATGACAACTTATCCATGAAAGGACCTTCCCTCTTATCCCATGACAACAGCTTCCACATTCTTTTACAGGTTTCAGAGTAGCAGCCGTGTTAGTCTGTATCCACAAAAGAATGGAACATACTATATGCTCCATTTTATGCATCCGATGAAGTGGGCTGTAGCCCATGAAAGCTTATGCTCAAATAAATTTGTTAATCTCTAAGATGCCACAAGTACTCCTGTTCTTTTACAGTCATTCATAAGGAATATCTCTTTACTCTTTTTCTCAGAGTTTCCTGAAAAAATGCTGCAATATGAACCTGTGAAACTGTATACACATTTTTTTTTCCTCAGCATCAAAACCACCAATGGCTGATTTGACTTAAGGCAGAAAGTCATGCACAATGTATTGAATTGCTTAGAATAGAAAATTTAAGTTACGTTTGGGGGGCAGCAGAGTTTCCGGTGGGATCTGTGACTTGAAACTCTAAGCTGTCTGAATTCACCTCCCAGGATGGATTGATGACATAAAGTATGTTTTTGCCATTTAAATCCTTTTGGCTGAATCCTTCCTGGATAAATCCACCTGGGAAAGAGGGGAAACATTAAGATAAATCAAAATCCAGTTAAACAAGAGTTAGCAAAAGTCACATGGTTTGAATTAGCAATAGAGGGTCCTGTGGCACCTTTAAGACTAACAGAAGTATTGGAGCATAAGCTTTCGTGGGTGAATGACCACTTCATTGTGTCTGATGAAGTGGGCATTCACCCACGAAAGCTTATGCTCCAATATTTCTGTTAGTCTTAAAGGTGCCACAGGACCCTCTGTTGCTTTTTACAGATTCAGACTAACACGGCTACCCCTCTGATGGTTTGAATTGATTATTAAAGAACTTTTTCTTTGTTAACTCTTATAATTCTGCAGCATAGTACATAGATCTTCCAGAAATCTACCCTTTCCTCTGCATAGTGCCATTGCAGTGTTTACTACCCCCTTCTCCCGGCAATTATCCAGTTCCCAGGTGACATCACATCAAATGACCTGGGTCCAGATTAGCTTCCTTTGTTCACTATTTATCATTGTTTTACCTGCCATTAAGCTTATAACACGTCTGTGATACATCGGGGCTTTGTCCCTTTCTACAATGATGTTTCAAGCTTCATTTTCAAAAAGAAGTTCTTGAATTGTAGCTACAAAATGTGCTACCAAGGTGTTTAAGAATTCATCACTGACTTGTATTTGGGTACTGGTATTGGAACTGTCTCATCATATTCCAGTCTCCCAAAGAACTCTAGAATCAGAATTCAGTTTGTTCTACCACAGCTGAGTGGGCCTATATTTTGATAGGGTCACAGGGTTTGAAATCTGCCCCAGTGTGTCCCAAGATATTTTAGATCATTGTATGAAGAGGTTAGAGAACACGTTACCTGTTGTTATATTTTCCAGGTAGCCATAACGAGGACCTCGTAAAATCTTAAAAATGACTTGGTCCTCTTCTGTATCGGGGTCATATGCCTTCAAGGACCTGGCAGTAATGTAAATCCCATAATTGCCATTTTTCAGGAGCTCCACATCTGAAGAACAACGGAGGTGAACAATTTTTGGTGCAGTTTTGTCCAAATGGTCCACCTGAATCAAGATTAGAAATAACAAATGTACATTTGTTTCACAGAATCAGACCTTTCCCTGCACTCAAAAAAAAAAAAAAGTTGAGTACATAGGTACCACAGGAAATCTGACTCAAGGCTTTGGTAATGTCACCCACTGACCTGGTCAATATATCCTCCCCAACCTGAGCTACCTTCGCATCTCCATCCCTAACCATATGACTTGCATTCCTGTCATCAAACCTGTGGCTCCTGCATCCCATGATCTTCCCATGAAACTACTTTCCTCATCCCCATCCATCTTCCATCTTTCTTGTGAATAGGAATTATGAGGCCCAGAAGCCTCTTTGCTAAATCTGTACTTTGACATTTCTCATGATTGCTATACAATGCAGTCTGGGTCACTTGATGCTAAAAATGCCAGATTATATAAGAACTTAAAGCAGAGGCACCTGGGCCTAATGCTGACACTGTGAGAACCGTTAAAGGTGGGGGGAAATCAGAGACCAAAGGAAAGATCACACTATGGAAAGGAGGAACTGGGTCAGGCTAATGGGAGGCAACTGATAGGGATTCAGAATTCATGGCCAGGGAAGGATGGAAATCCATATTGCGAGCAAAGGGAGCTAAGCATTGAGATTGGTGAGAACAGAGGACTCCCTAATGGAGCAGAATTTAATGAAAGGTTCTGGTTCAGTTCTAGGGCAGGGCTGAAGTTTGAATAGATTCTGGTAAGAGTTGTAAAACATACCTTTGTCACAGAACAGTTATAGACTATCAAGTTGACTATTTTCTCCTGGATGTGGCCCATGACAGATGCTTCAGTAGTCCTAACACCACCCCGCCACACCAAGTGCAGCTTACTGTGCAATATAACTTTGGGGGAAATGTGAGATTTCATCCTCACCACAGCTAGGGTTAACTTTGGGCCCTTAACACTTGAAGATTGAAAACTCTTACAACATTTATCTCAACTAGTGTAACAAAGATTGCATTTTTTCCTATTCTTATGTCTAATCCATTTTTGAACTATTGCCACAGGGTATTACTGAAGCTCCATTGGTTAATTATCCTATTAGCCCATCCCTACCAGATCAATCCTAAATTGCTGAGTCCCTGAAACTGAGCAGCAAGCACGCACTAGCACTATGCCCATTGGAGCCAGTATTTTTATACCTATTAATTAACCTTATTGTTCTATTCAACTTTTTAAAACAGGGTGTTGGCCATACTTACCTGAATGGTGAATGCCACAGGCTCCATTTGCACCTTCCCATCTACGATGAAGCCTTCATTAGTCCTATCTGTTGCAACAAATGTAAATCTGTCAATCTGGGAAGCCCCTCCTCCGTGTCTATATGCCATGTCCATGTTGTCCACATCTTGCTGAGTGAAATTGTGCTGCAGCAGCACAGCCCCTCGGTAGCACAGATGGCCATATTGAGGGAGCTGTGCCAAAAGGAAAGTAAGGTTCTTTGAGGAAGTGTCTGCATCTGAAAGCTGCAGGACATCAGGAGAAAGGAGTGCCATAGAGCCTTCCACTAATCTTAGCCCCTTGTTCCTAGACACTATGGGCAAAGCTTGGTCCACTGTCTCCAGCGTGATCTCCAACGTTCCGTGTTTAGTCTTCAGTCCATTGCTGATGATAAATCTGGCAAAGAGAGGCAAGGCAGCCTTCAGCATGTGTTCTTGATTCACCATCTACTGAAATGAAATGATAATACACACCTTTACTAAAGGATTTGCCTCACGGTGACTCTGAAACACACATCAAAAACTAGATCTCTGACAGTACCCTGCTTTTCTTTTGACTCAAACCCGAACCAAACGGGGGATAGTTATACAACTTAGGGTATGTCTACCCTGCAATTTTTCTGTGCATGAACTACACACAATGCTGATGAAAGGTTCTCACTTGCCAAAGTTTTCATTCAGTTATTTTTGTCATTACCTAACTGGCAAAGGCCTTCCCCTCAGTTAGACAACTTAACCCTCAAAGTGCTAGATAGCCTAGTGGTATGGCTCTTACCCAGAGGTCCTGAGTTCAAATCCCAGAGGATGGCAATGTGCACTAAAGACTACACTATCTACCTAAGTGGAAATATTTGATTTGCAAAGAGCTGTTCTCTGTGGTGATATATTTCCCTTACTCCCACCGCACCCCCCAAAATATACTGCACATTGTGTGCATGTGTTATCATGCTCACAAGTGTAAATTAACATGGGAAAGTACAACTGATATTTCAGACATAACTACAGGTGCATTCCCAGCTAGCCACTTTTTCCTCTCATTACTGGGCTGCCATTTTACATAAGCCAAATAAGGAATAGTCAACATTTTGATAATTTGTTTCGCCTTCATCTGGCGGTTGAGAGGCGTGTAAACTGAACTCAGAGAAGTATTAAAAGAACCAAAAGCTCAGAACTAGGATTGCTGTGGTTTACCTTGTTTAGAAGTGATCTTCATAGGTCATGGAAATGGCTTGCAGTGTTATACAGGCTGTCCAACTAAAACCCTTCACTGCCTATGCCAATGCCCGATGATTAGGGGCTGACCAACTTGTAAGCAGGCACTATGCCATCAGACAGATGGGAACGAATATAGGCAGGCCAGAGACTATATAGGAGTTAGAAGTATGTTTACTGAGCGCAGAATTCCCAGCAGGGAACATAGAGGCAGCTGTCTGTACTGACCTGAAGTTACTGTGCCAATGGTAAAGGGGATGTACTATTGCTAATTTAGCTGGATCTGATATACCGCTGGAATAATAATACCAAATGATAAGTACAAAACAGATTTCATGGTCATGCAAGACCATTTTTTGGCCTTCTAGAGACAGGAAAAGTACAGCTGAGGGGTGCAAATTGACACAGCCACCTTTTTGGGGTCTCCCTGGAAGGTACCCTGGGAAATCTCTGAAACCAATATTTAATCAAAAAGATTTAGGAAGAACTGTTCATGTGTATGAAAAATTAGTCCAGAATCTTCTACAGGACACAGGACAGGTTCTGTGACCATCTTAGATATATAAATAAGGCTGAAAATTACAATGCAGATGTAACTTGATCTGGCAGATAATGAAGCAGGCTGGGTCCAAGAAGTAGTTATTGCGACACTTTCCTATTTCTACACTTCAGTTTTTTGTTTATTTCAGGTTTACTGCTGCTCTGTTTTCCCCCTAGGAATGAAAAGCAGCCAACATTCTCATCCCTCTGATGAAATTTGGGGAACAACTCTCAGGTTTAGTTAGGAGGACATGTCGCATGGTTTGATTTCACCATTACCAAGGTTTTATGCTTTCTGAAGTTCCATGGCAATAGAGTTGGCTGCAGAACCTGCCATCTGTCATGGCATTTAAAAGATAAAAATGGAATCATAAATAGAGCCAGCTCATTACAAAATCGAGCCAGCGTGTCAAAATGGAGGACATTAGCATGTTCTTTTAGCATCCTGCTGCCAGCATCTGATGTCAGGTTGCTAATCATTTGAAGTCATCTGTCCAAACAAGCATTGCCAAATCTTTCTTCCAGGCCAGAAGCACCAAACAATACAGGGAAATTTATTACTGAAGAAATTACTTTAGCGGAAGGTAAAAATCTGATCATTTAACCCCCCACCCTCCCCCAACTCCATATAATTAATGTTACCATTCCTTGTTTTAAAAAAAAAAAATCTACTGCAGTATTTATATCCCTATACACAACCAAATTCTTTGCCAGAATAACAGAAAGGAACATAAATTACAGTGATTCAAACTGACATATATTTATTAAAAAAAACACAATCTTACTTCTATTAAACCAATCATTCTAATTTGGTTCTTCTCCACTGGTCCAGACAGAAAACTTATTTTAGTTTAAACTGGATCTATTTCAGTTCAGCTCAAGTTAATTAAGAACAGGTTTGAGCTAAACTGAAAAGCCACTCAAACTGAAATAAGTGGGTGACACAGAGGCACCGGTCTAACTTAAACTGTGCAAGTTTGTGTTCTACACCTTAACCATACTGCTTCATGACTATCACAAAGCTTCACAAAGCCAAGGAAGTTAACAAATTCTCAGTAACTGGTATTCTCTGTTATGGAAATAGGCGATCATAAAAACAGCTCTCACAGCAAGAGCTGATTGAAAATCAGAATTTCCACCTCATACAAAATTCAAACATTTCAATGTTTGCTTTTGTTTCAAATTGGGACAAAGGGTCAAAACATCAATTTTTTTTCGTAGAATGAAAAGTTCAGTTAATTTTCATTCAGAAATGTCTAAACATTTCATTTCAGCTTGGTCCAATGTTGAATTGTGTCTGCCACAGAGCCACATAGGACTTGTAGTTTGGTTGCCTCATGGCCTCATTCTCTTCTTTGGGCCAGGCTTCCTGGCTGGACTACATCACCCAGGATACACTGCAATCATAAAAGTCCTAGGAGGCATTATAGCAGTTTAGCCATAGAAGGGAATGATGAATCATGGGTGATGTAGCCCAACCTGGGAGCACTAGCCCATACAGGAGAATGGGGACACGAAAGCATCTAAACTACAACTCCCATGAGGCACCGTGACAGCTCAGGCAAATTAATATAGAACTGACCCAAAACTAAATGTTTCTGTTTGGTTCAACAAACTACAATATTTTGATTTGGGTAACCCAAAGTGAAATACTTAATTTGATTTTCCCGAAAGGAAAATCAACAAATGTTGGCAAAATTGAAAATTTCCTGTGGAAAATGTGGATATTGAGGAAATCCCATTTTCTGTAAAAAAACAAAAACAAAAAAATCCAAACATTTTGATGGACAATTCTCAGCCAGCTCTACTCAAAGCTTATCGCTATTTCTTGCGGAACATTATCTGTATTTTAATCAGCCTAACACCCCCATCCCCAAAAGGCTGTGTGCAATAGTGAACCTCCCTCTAGTTACACCCTTCTTTTCTATGGCCCATTGAGGTAAATTATGAACACCACCCAGAACTCTGTTCGTCCAGACACTTTGCCTTCAGAGAGTACCAATCTCTGCTGGCTTGTGAGGCTGGTTCAGGACCAACCCAGATTCTCCATGTGACAGTGCATTTGATTGTCACTAGACTGCCAAGCTGGCTCTGAAGGTGACAAACTTTTGTGTGCAAATTCTGTTGTACTTATTTATTTCCTTGTCTTGTGGAACTAGAATAGATTAATGCTCATCAGTGTGTGAAAGAATCAGTATAGAATACAAAAAGCCTGTGGTAGAATTAATGTCACTTACTGAAGATTTAAAAAGTCTGTTGTGTTGAAATAAGAAGCACACAACACAAGAGCAGGGCACAGTCTATATGTATCAGGGAATATATTACTGATGGTCACGTACACTGCTCTTCCACCATATAACACTGTTGACAACAAGAAGGTTAAGGCAGAAGTTAGTTAAATGGTTAAACTGCATGACACAGTCACTCAATCTGCTCCAAAGAATGGCTGTACCAAGAGGCATGAAAGAACTATCTAAGTCTAGATCAAGAAATCTGAACCCAAATTCTCAGTGTGGACAATGATTTGGTGGGAGCACTGACTCTAGTATGAAAGAAATTGGGTGTGGTGCCAGGAGATTGAGCACTTTATGCTAAAAGTGACACAATTAGAGCTGCCGTCCTAAAAAATAATATAGTAATGAGCCAGATCCTCAACTGTAGCTCTACTGAAATCAGTGGCATTATGCTACCAGCTGAAGATCTGGGCAACTGAGGAATTTTATGAGCGGCACAGAATTGCAAATTAGGCAGAGTGAGGCCTTCTTGTTTCTTAGGGAGACAAGAGTACTAGGAAGGAATAAATGATATATGCTGTTGCCGTGTAAATCAGCTAAATGTTTGATATAAGTCCTGAGAGATTTTGGGGTGGTGTACCAATAAGTACTAATAAGCAGGTGTTGGAATATATAAGACAGACAATGGCAAATTTACATTTTGATAAGTTTGATCCTACCCACCTGGGTTGTTATTACATTGGTCCATGGAAGCAAATCATCCTTAATTTTGGCAAAAATTCAGGAGGGACATTATACTGATATGAGGCTTCAAATTGATATATTAAGCAGGCACCAAGGTATTTAAATGAGTTTATGACTACTCAGAAAAGAGAACTGTGTCAGAGTATGTAATTTGTCTACCTTATTAGTATATTTATTAAAGTTGGTTTTGTAACCAGAGAGATAATCAAGATATGTTAATAACTCAGGCAGAGAGCTCTTATGGATTGAACCACCTATCTTAAAGCCATAGATAAACAGCTGATGGATAGCCCGAGCTGAAGGTTCCCATCTAGAATAAACAAAAGAATGGAGGGAACCAACAGGAAACCTTATAGAAAACATGGTTCAGCATGCAACCTTCAGAAAATATGAACCATTAGAAAACTTTAGTTGAGGGAGATGAATGTAAGGAATATGATGCTCTAAACTTTCTATTTTAGGGATTTTTATAGCACCTGCCTTCTCTGAGGCAAATCTGCTACACATAGAGAGGGGAGAGGATTGCAGAGGCTGGGTGGGAGGGGTGGGGGATACCCCTTGTGTAAAGCTCAGCTTCCTGGCAGTTCCCAGTTTGCCCGTGAGGGCGGTGGGGGAAAGGAGATGGGATTGCCAGAGATGGAGGCTCCACTTTAATTCAGATTCTTGTATCTTTGACACTCCACAACACCTACTACCATGTGTCCTCTACAGGGGAGACAATGTGGGATGTATGAGAGGAGATTCTTTTACCTCACACAGTTCCCCAGCAATCAAGCCAGCCATTTAGTGTAGGTGCTTCGCTAAAGATTTACCTTTAATAAAACTTCCACTCAACACAGTCAAAAGACTTTTCTGTTCCAAGTGAAATAGGAAGACCTGGGAATTCCATGGGTTTTAGCAAACTGTATGACACTGAATAGCATGCATGTGCTTTCAGCTGCTGCCTAGTATTAACATCTGGTCTGGGTATAGTAAGGATGGATTTCCAATCCACATGGCAGCACTTTGGAAATTAGCAAAGATCTCAATACCTCAATATATAAAGGGATACAGTCTGCATCACCTGCAGTCCTGGGGATCTTTGCCCTTATCAGTGATAAGAGATTGTACTGCTTCAGATGGAGTGTGGTGTGGAAAATTGAAAGAGAAATTAAATAATTAATCTATCTTTTCAGGGGGGAATATAAAGAACGTATAGTTGAAAAAACACCTGGTTCTGAAGGATTTCAGGTATTACAAGAAATGTGCATCCTAGCTCTGTCTCCTCCTTACAGAAGGATGTAACACCAGTGGTACAATTAACAAGGAAAACGTTATAGTTTAAGGTGAAATTCCACAAGGGATGTTACTGAGGCCCACTCTTCTGACTTAGTTGTTATCAGCCATGTATATTTGCATCTTATAACAATATTTGAACCATTATAGGCAGATGAATATAGCCCATGCTCTTATTTCATGGTTTTAAAGGTTGAGTAGTGATCACATAGTGTCAGTCAAGGCTAAATCCAAGATAGAGGTAATACCTCTTGTCATATAAACATTGGCTATTTACTACCAGCACCATCACTACCACCTTTCCATCAGTTTTGTTATTAGTCAAAGTAACAAGCAAGAAGGAATTCTTCAGAACTTACCTGAACAGGTCTCGGGGAGCAGCTGCCTTGCTATTGTGGACATAGCAGATTGCTTGACCTGCTACATCCATTTGGCTGAAACTTGTAATAGGGACTCCAGGATAGCTGACATACTCTATCTGTCCATACTGAGGTGGCGAGGTTATCACATAGAGGAGCTCTTCTGGTTTCTCAGTTCCATCAATTGCAAGGAGAACATCAGTTGTCAAGAAACCTCTGTCCCCCTTAGATACAGTAAGTGGCCTCACGAAAACAGCAATGTCCCCTGCAAGATACATGATACCCAGTTAAAAGTGTCATATTGACATTTGTATTTCTCTCTTACCTATTGTTTCCACCTAGTGTAGGTAGATGAATTCATGGTTTTAAATAGTGATTGTGTAATGTCACATTCGTCAAGAATAAATCCACAATAAAGGTAACACAAATCCAATGATGGAAGTAAGGCCTCATGGTTATAGCACTAAATTGGGAGTCAGGAGTCCTGAACCATACCATCCTCCCAGCTTTGCTGTTCTTATTACTTGCTTTGGAGAAATTGCTTACCATTTTTCTGTGCCTTGGTTTACCCATGTACAAAATGAGTATAATACTCACTTTACCAAGATATTGTCAGCCCAGTTTAGTCTATATTTATAAAGCACTTTGAGGTCCTATGAGGTGAAGGATAAAGTATTAACTGAGTGTACAACCTTTTGAAATCTTAGGAAGCCTTCTTCAAAAATAATTTTAAAAGACCCAATCCCACAATGAGTTCCATGCAGACAGATGCTACTGCAGGCTTGGAGCCCCACTGAAGATAATTGGACCCTACCCATTAAAGGGTTAAGGTCAAAGAGTGGATCATAAATGGCAATTTAATTTTTTTCAGATTGCCCTGGTATAAGAATTAGTCATGGTAGAATGCAAAATTACCCAGATCTTTACCTTTTTCCATATCCTTGATAGTTATATAGAAGTCCATTGCTGGGGATTTGTTGTCCCCATCCCACAGATGAAATGTGAAGCTGTCTTGGTTCCTGGACCCCATAGCTCCTGTATGCACATATCTCACAAGGTTCATATCTATTTCCTCCTGGGTGCACTTCATTTCAGTTTGGAGCGTCACCCAGTCCCTACCTACCTAGAAAGAATAAAAATCTGTCAGCAACCTGACAGTATTCCATAAGTTTTCCCAAGTTAATTTTGCTCAATTGGTAGATATTGCTCAGTTATTTACACCCTTGCTGATGATAGCCTACCTATATTCCCCTTTCACACTTTGGACCTCCTTCCTAATAGGAGGTTTCAGGGGCAGTAGTTGGTAGGAGCTTTGTAGCCAAGCAGCCAGAAGAGCTGGAAAAAGCAGATGCTAAGAACCTAACGGAGCTCACTGCTAGGAAGTGTTTCCTCATATTCAGCCTACATTTTCCATTTCATGCCATTACTCCTAGTTCTGCTCAGGCCCAAAGCCAGCCAGGCATAAGTGAGGAGCCTATGGGGGGTTAGAGGGAGGCAGGGAGAATTAGGGAGCCAAGGGGTCCTTCCCTGGAAAAATTTGAAATGTCAGGTGCAATATCCTGCTTTGCAGAAGATTTCAAGGTCTTTAACAACAAATATGCTAGATCAACCAAAATCTGAATATGTGGTATTGAGCAGGAGCTGTGTCCCAGCGTAATATGCTGCTGCTGGAGCAAATAATGTTAAAATACCAATAAGCACAACACACCAGACCCACGGGCTTCAGACAACACTCATCTATTTCTTGTTAGACACACACACAAACCTATATACAATATTAGGAGAAGCCAGAATCTACCTAGCAACTTATTTTCCTCCCTGATGTATGGGGCACTAGGCTCCCATTTCCAACACCGTCATTCAGAACCAAGCCCCACTTGTTTCACAGAATCATGCTACCTGGAATACAATAGCCAATTTTCTACATAACAAATCACAAAGAAATGGTTAGTATGTCTGCCTTGCTTATTGTTCTGATTGCTCATCTTCGGTCAATTCTTTTCTTCCCTCCTGTTTCTAGTCCTATTTTTTCAGTCTCTCTTTCTCTCTCATTAACACTTATTTTCTGACCTTCCCTTTCTCTTTCTCCCTCTCTACTTTCTTTCTCTCTCACTGATAGGTTCTCTCCTGCACCACTGGGGAGTGTCTCATCTGTGGGGTCTCCTTCCACTCTCTTCCTGGTCCCTAAAATATCTCCCCATCCTCTGTCTCTGGGGTTGATCTTGCCCCCCATTTGGTCTAGCTCTTCTCTCTCCTCTTCCTCCCATTGGGATTCTTCCCCTCTAGGATCTCCACCATCATCCCAGGAAGATCCTGCCATGATTTTAACTTCCCCTTCACGCCATCCGAGACTCCCACCTCTAGTATCAAAACCTCTGATTTAGTATTTTGCATGGTTCAGCTACACAAGTCAGTTCGCCAGAGCAGTGTATTCCAAAACATGAAAGACATTCAGGATAAAAGGAGAATCAGCTTCTTTTTGTTCTAACAAGAGAGAGTTGTTTGCTTGCTTGCTTTTTGTTAAAGTACAAAGACTAACCTTGAGCTGAAGCTGCCCATTTTCTGGAATTCTTTCAAATAAATAGTAAATTCTCTCCCTGGAGGTGTCTTTATCTTCGGCTGACAGAACAGCACTAGAAATTATTCGGGTTTCACCCATATTCACCTCTATCTCATCCTTCCTGAAAAAAAGAAAAACCTCATGCACTGATGTGAAAACAGAAAAGTAACCTTTCCAACAAGTGATACTACTGCCAGGAAATGGATTACCCAGAAGCTGACAGGAATAATAACTGCAGAATGACTAAAGGAGAACACATATATCTGCAAAACAGCAAGCAGAGAAGATTGATTTCTCATAACAACAGTGAAAACCAATACCAACGAAACAGATCTGAAGCAACTTTGGATCTCACAACAGGAATCAATTCTCTCTGCCCCCCTCCATAGTCATTATCTGGGTTGCCTTAGAGGGGCAATATGAACAAGGTGGCCATGATGCTATTACAGGCCATACCAATAAGTGCGCCATTGGCCCTTTAGGGGTCTTAATTCATTGGCTGTTCAATCATTGGCTGGCTGAGCCCTGAAAAAGAGCCTGCACGAGGAACAGAGGCCCATTCTGCTGGTTGCCTATGCTTCCCTCCTCAGACTTTCCATTAGCCCTCCAGGATCAAATCACTGTAAGGTTTCGCTTACAGCCTTTTGCTCATTGGTGTTCGTGGCTGCCACTGCACAAGAAAATACAGAGTCAGGTAGGATGGAAGTCCCAAAAATGGTTTTAAATTCCTCCAGAGACTTACTCCAGCCTAATTCTCAGTCTCTCTCTCTCTGTTTCCTCCCTTCAGCTAGTACCTGCCTCTTAGCAGCTCTCTCTTCACATAATTTTACTATTGTTATTATTTATTACTTGTATACCAGTAACATTAACTATGTACTAGGCGCCAACCAGCGATAAGGTAAAACACAGTCTATGCCCCAAAGAGCCTACAATCTAAGAAGACAAGCAACATACAAAGGGATTAGAAGATGGGTTAAAAAAACCAGAGCTACTATAGGTACATTAAAAAAAATACTAAATGTCATCGGACTCTAACTCTTCATCTACCTAGTCAGAATTAGTTGGCTAATTCTTTCTGGTATCAGAGTAGATGGTCTTGAAGAGGGGCTTTGGGGGGCGGGGGGAAATGTAGTGGCTTTACATTCGGGGAAGGTGTTCCACACAGCAGGGCTAAATGGAAGAAGGTGCAAAGGTGATTGTGCAGTACTCATAGTGATTCAGAAACATCAACGGCTAGATCAGGAACACCCCATCAGTTCTTTTCAAGTCTGCCTTTACTTTTCCAACTGCATGGCATGTGCAGGCTATTGGAGAATGGGACTAAAGTGGGGAGGAAAGGTGATCCCAAATCAAAGGGTGAGCAAGATTCCCCACTGGGGATGACTAATTATAAGATATAATCACTGCCTGTCAAGGCAGCAACACAGTTTCTGGGTTCTTCTGGGCACAGAAGGTGAAATACACTTATCTGCAGTCACCTCCATACCTCACTCCAAAGAGAAAGAGTGGGGAATGATCTACTGAACTTTATCCAAACAAGAAAAATATCAAGGTATATTTGATCAGTAATTTTGATTACATCATTTCATTTTATTAATATGTAAACTGTACCCTGCATTCTGAGCTATGGTCACTACTCTTGCTCATGTGTACTATATATCTCTTTGCAATCACGTAATTGTAAAATTAACTTTTGTATTCCTTATTTTTGTCTGGTTGATGAAGATACACATTCTTAAAATCTATGCCTCTGCGTTTAGCAAGGAGTTCTAGCAATTTAAGAAATATTGTTTCCAATAACCATCAGTAGTTAAAGGATGAAACTTTTCACAGAGGGATCATAAGAACATAAGAATGGCCATACTGGGTCAGACCAAAGGTCCATCTAGCCCAGTATCCTGTCTTCCGACAGTGTCCCATGGCAGGTGCCCCAGAGGGAATGAACAGAACAGGTAATCATCAAGTGATCCATCCCCTGTCGCCCATTCCCAGCTTCTGGCAAACAGAGGCTAAAGGCACCATCCCTGCCCATCCTGGCTAATAGCCATTGATGGACCTATCCTCCATGAACATATCTAGTTCTTTTTTGAACCCTGTTATAGTCTTGGCCTTCACAACATCCCCTGGCAAAGAGTTCCACAGGTTGACTGTGCATTGTGTGAAAAAAAAAATACTTCCTTTTGTTTGTTTTAAAACAGCAGCTGTCTGCTGCCTAATAAATCATGTCAGTGGAAAGTTACCCTCACTCTCCTAGTCAAATTAAAAACAGATCATATTAGCTTTAAATGCAACTGCAGTAGTTACTTCTAAAAGATCAGGAGTCAGAGTGAAACATCAGTCATGTGTGTTCCTCCATATAGCATCATCCTGAGTTTAATTAATTTGTAAATCACAGCTTTGATGAAAGGGGAGGAAGTTAACTCATCCCTTGACTGGAAGATGGATTATGATTGAAAGAGAATATTTTTAAAAAACAAAATCTACTATGAATGTTCAGAGCTTACTCCGTAACTCTATAGAGCCTTTTAGTGGCATGGGGTGATCTCAGATGATAGGGAATGGGTTATTTCTCAATCCCCAAATCCTACGCTATTTTCAGTGTTAGCTGATATATACTATAGCCACATGTCACCAATGTCCAGGAGAAAGAGATAGCTGGATAGCTAAAGTAAATCCCACTGTATGTATTGGCCAGCAGAGGGAGTACAAAGATCAGGGTTCCTTTTAAATAATATTTTAACTAAGCTCTAACAGACAAAATGAATATGTGCCTAAATATAGATCACAACAGCCGTTTATTATTAAATAAAAAGCAACATGAAAAGAAACTTTGTGATTTAGGCATTTTGTTATCAACGGTGATCTTTATTGGGAATGCTTTTGTTAAACAGTCCTATGGTGGCATATGCAGGAACATCTCTGTTGGCGTTAGTCTATGGCTATTTATGGCAGAATAGCCCCATTAATCACTATTTTGCTGTTTTGATCACTGTTGAACACATCCCACAATTTGGAATAGGAACATGTGGCTTACTTGCTCAGCATTGGCTTCTCGTCATTAACTGGGATGACCTTTACCAGAATGGTTCTGAGGACTTTATGTTTCCCATCTGACAGCTGGAGTGTAAAACCATCAATGAGATTTTCAGAGTCATCATGCATGTACACCAGCCTCATTCCTGGGGAGAGGGAGAAAAAAAAAGAGAAAATAAAATCTGTCTCCTTCAAAATCTCTTTCATGACATGTCCCTCTGCCTCCATCATCCTCCCCCTCTCCCCAACCCACCATGTCTTCTGGTCACAGCCAGTTTGTTTCAGCTAGCAGAGGACAAGCCATGTAAGCAGCAGCTGTTCATTAATCCATCAGTACACCAGCAACTCGAAGAGAGCAGCATGACCTGTTAAAAGAACGAAACTCCTTTCCAAACTATCTTTGTTCTGAAAAGGTAAACATTTTCCGTCCATCCACCCCAATTTAAAATTTCTACTTGACTGGGAGATAAGATGGTCAGATATCACTCCTCTTTGTCTTAACCGATCCATAGGGAGGAAGGATCTTTAGGGAGAAAGACTGGTGTTCTGGTTGAGACAGTGGATGGGGGATTCAGGAGATCTGGCTTCAGTTCCTGGCTATGACAGAGACTTTCTGTGTGACCTTGGGCAATTTATTTAATCTCTCTGTACCTCAGTTCCCAATCTGAAAAAGCACAATAATATACTTCCTTTCTGCTATCCTTTATCTGTCTTGTCCACTTAGACTGTATGTTCTATAGGACAGGGACTGTCATGTTTGTACAGTGCCTAGCACAATGGGGACTTGATCTCAGTTGCACCTCTAGGTGCCACCATAATGCAAATGAATTATAATCAAACCCCACATGTACTTCTCCAAAGTTTGAGGATTCAATTAAAAAAAGTAAATGATTTGGGCTATTTCCTCTCTAATTAGAACAATGAAGAAATAAGCATAATGGATAGAGTAAACATATTTATGTCATTATCACTGCAATATGTCCAACTTCCATAAAGTTTTTTTTACACTGATGTAAAAACATTGTTTTAAAAATAATAAAATGTCCTCATATTTTCTTAGAGAAAAAGGAGACCTATAATTTTTGTCATTTTTTGTATTTCAGTCTCATTTACACATTGTCAAAAGGATTGCAAGGATTTAAATGAGCAAAATTTATCTAGTGCATTTAAAAAGCCAAACAAAACACGACTCCATAAAGTTACTTGTTAAATCCAGATTTAGTTTCACTTAATTGAATGAGCTGTTTTTCCCTATACCATATCCATTTCACATGTAGGTCCATGATTTAACCCATGCACAGCTGTCCATTCCTCAGTGGCTAATACTCAAGAACTGGTTGTTTAAGTCAAGTGTTTGAATGAATGTACAAGGGGAACAGGCCTAGGACCTTGACATTTGCTAGTCCACATCTGAATAACTGTCCCAAAGCTGGTTCCCAGATTATCCACCAGAACGCCACATGCCAGGGTGGCCAGCAGGTGGCTAGACAAAGGAGGATAGAGAGGTCATACTGCAGTTCTTTGGAGTGGAACTTTAGTGGAAGGGTACTGAAGTGGTAAGGTCTGTAGTAGAAAGAGAGAGAAGAGGGGTCACACAACTGAGATGGGGTAAATATGAATGACTAGGAAAGACTGAGGAATGTAGGATGAGTACCTGATATTTTTGTGTCTACTTTTTGTGGAAGAAGATCAGATACAGTGGTGATGGGTGACCTTATAAAAACAGAGGGAGAATATATTTGTCCTCAGTGCTCTGAGGCCCAAATTCTGATCTGAGTTACATAAGTGTAAATGTATTGAAATCATGTTAATTACTTCATTGTTCTCCAGAATATCAGAGTCGACAAACAGGTTTCAATTAGCTGGTCATGGTTAACAATAGATCCCCATCTCCTACCTCTACCACATAGAGCAATTTTCTACCCATGACTACATAACGTTCTTAAAAATGACCTAGAGTAGATACTAAGTGGCATTAAAAAGTGTTAATTAAAACATACCAGCTAGCATATTTTAGACCTCTCATTTTCCAAAGCAGATGATCTCCACTAAGGGTTAGAAAACTGTGTTATTGTCCTTACAGGAAACTTGAGGTGTAGGCTTCTAAGGATGAACTTCTTGAGGGATTCCCAAGGGATTAAATATGTTGAACTCAGAAAATGCCACTCAGATTTAATTTGCTATTCTTAAATTTTCCTATGAAACTATGGCTAGGCCCGGTGAATAAGTAATGAATGTTTCTTACAAGGCCACTTTGTCTGGTATGAATTTTTAAAGGAACAAAAGGACTGATGCAAAAGAAATGCTGCATTTACCATTCTTAAGAAGCTCCATGGAAAAGTCATGCACAGGACGTTCATGATTGTGGTGACTGTTAATGAATCTTTTGTAATTCATAACATCATTGCCATAAACTCCATTAATGAGGAATCCATGCTGGGGTTGCTGGACAACGGTAAACATCAAACGATCTTGAGGTACATCCAGATCAATCACGTTGATTACAGAGAGATCCAGTTCTTTCACTTGGCCCTCCTGCACCTGAGCAGCAAAACAAAACAAAGCAACAATAACCATGATTTTTCTGTAGAAAGAGTAGTTTCTTTCTTTAAGAAATGGAATCCTCTTCCCTCACAGAGAGCAGCCAGGTCCCTCCCACAAATCGTCAGAGGCGCCTCTGAAACCAAAAGGAAAAAACAACCCTCCACCTCCTTAGCAAAGATTCTTTTATTGTTTAAAAGTCTGATTCTTTGAGCTCTTACTTACTTACCAGCACAGTGCTTACTACTATGGCAGCCTTATTGAAGTCAATGGGACTATTCACAGTAGTAAATGTTGTTATGCTCAGCAGTAAGTATTTGCAGGAATTGCCCCTTATAGATCAACAAAACACAAGAAACCAGCTCCCTGATTCTCCTCTCTCTCCTGGGGCCAAGCTGAGAATCTGGCCAGGATGAATAAGAAGATGCCATTTTTACATGATCATGCTTCTGACCATAACCACTCTTACATACATTAAGAGGCAGCTACATGGCAGATCCACACAGTTTGAAAAAATTTAATATTGTGAAACATCGCATATACCCCAATTGCACATCAATTCTGTGGGATTGATGACAGATGAAATCCTGATGCTATTGAAGTCAATGGCAACTGGGGCTGGGATTTCATCCTATGTTTCCTAGGTAATATTATTTTGCCCTCCCCTCTCCCCCCCTCTTTTTTTTTTTTTTTTTTTTTGGTCTGCAGGAAAGTTCTTTTTTTACCATGACAATTTCTTGTACCAGAGTATTGTAAAGGAAACTGAGAATCATACAAATCATCAGTGAAGTGGCTTTTAGCTCTGGGCATGCTGAGTTTTGGCGTCATGAAATATATTGGAGCTACATCTATGTGTGTATATACACAAATATCTACATACAAGAGATTAGATAAATATACATAGACATTACAGTAAATCAAGTCTGCTCAGGTAAGTATTTAAAATACTACTAAAGTTGGTAATTGGTGAAATTCACTCTTGTGCAGAGCACCAGCACAAGGCCCGTGCAATATTAACACCTTATTTTAAGGGCTGATATGAGACTTATGTGTTGAATAGGCCTTGTGTTTCCCTGCATAGGGCTGAATTTCACACAGCAGACCAAAAGAAGGGGAATAGGTTCCAGAAAGATACTAATATGTATATTAAAAAGGAGCCATTGGCTATATATTTTCTGGCATAGAAAGTCATTAGATATCTAGTATTTTGTATCCTTCCTTACAGTTATGTTCCTTGCTATGAATTCTGGGACTTCATCATTTGTTGGGTTGATCAGGACATAAAATGGGGTCTCCACTGAATGATGCTTCCCATCAGTGACATAAATCATAAACTGGTCTGAAGTTGGTTCTGTCCTCACATGCCTGGACTGCACATAATTTATATGCAAGGCTTTCAGGTGTTTCAGCTGAAATGAAGCTAGAGAATTCAAAAAGATGACAAATTAACACAACATTTATTCTGATTCCCTTTTAACAAACACTGTAACCCATTAAACACTTGTAAATCCATGCTCATTCCAGGTACAAATCATTTGGGTTTTACATATCTTTAAGCATTCTTAATGCTGAGGAAGCAAGGGAATATGGGCCCTAAATAAAACACACCAAGTTTGTGTCTACACTATGGAGACTATACTGGCATAATTACATTTGTGTAGCTACACCAGCATAATTCCATAGTGTAGACACAGGAAGGATTTTTTCTATCAGTATGGGAACACCAGTTCCCCAAATGAAGTTAGGTATATGTTGATGGAAGCATTCTTCTGTTGACATAGCTGTGTCTACACTGGGGGATTAGGTCAACATATTTATGTCAGACAGGAGTGGGTTTTTTCACACCCTTGACTGACGTAGCTATGTTGACCTAACTTTTAAATGTAGACCAAGCCTAAAGAGCACATCTTCCATCCTGGAGAAATGTTAGTTCTCCGATCTCAAGGTGAAGATATACCAGGAATGTATTTGACCTGTCATGTTCAATTTCTTTCAAATCCAACATAGCTCAGGAGATTTAGAGCAAAAAGAAATGCAGACTTTTCCCAACAGAGGTACTCTCACATCACTGTGAACAGCGTCATGCTGCTTCTTACACTGCAGTTGTAGATGTAAGCCAAGAGTTGCCCTCCCAAACCAATCAAATCTGCTTATGATCAGTCCAATGTGGGAGGTGGCTTAGGTAAATTGGACAAGGCAGGAACAGATCTACATCACAGTTTCTTAACTCTTGTGTAGATTTCTTTTTCATTTAGAGCCAAAGTCTGCCTGGCCCTTATATGAGGGTGTAGTGGAGTGACAGAAATAAAAAGCCTCTCCTCCCACTCCTTGTGCAGCATGTATAAGGGGTGAGCTGACGCTCAAGGTAGCACAGGAACTGTTGGTTCTTTATTTGTCTGGGATACATTAGTGCCCAAAGGGAATATGGGGAGGGGGAAGGAGGAAGGGGAAAGGAAGAGCCAGGGCTGCATTCCTGCCAATCACAAGCCAGCTCTGCTAGCTAGCCACACAAGGTATGTCTACATAGCCCATGAAAGTGAGCCTCCCAGCTTGGGTCAACAGTGGCTCTCTACCTTTCCAGACTACTGTACCCCTTTCAGGAGTCTGATTTGTCTTGCATACCCCCAAGTTTCTCCTGACTTGAAAATTACTTGCTTACAAAATCGCACATAAAAATACAAGTGTCACCACACACTATTACTGAAAAATTGCTTACTTTCTCACTTTTACCACATTATAAATCAATTAGACTATAAATATTGTACTTACATTTCAGTGTAGAGTATATCGAGCAGTATAAACAAGCCATTGTCTGGATGAAATGTTAGTTTGTACTGACTGCGCTAGGGCATTTTATGTAGCCTGTTGTAAAACTAGGTAAACATCTAGATGAGTTGATGAACCCCCTGGAAGATCTCTGTGTACCCCCACGGGTACCCGTACCCCTGGTTGAGAACCACTGATCTAGACAATGCTTTGAAGTTGTGGCTCTGAAGCCCACCCCGTTCCATAGGCTTCAGCAACCAAGCTGCAACTTCAACGCACTGTCTACACAGCTATTTTTAGAGCACTAGCGTGAGCCACGTTGGTCCAAGTCTGTTGGTCCAAACTGGGAGGTTTGCTGTTGCGGGCTGTATAGACACATCCATGGGGGGAGTATATTGCATCTTGTGAAAGGATGTAGCAGGGCACATGCTTCACCCCTCCCGCCCCCCGTACATTGGGGAACTCCAAGAAGCACTCTATTGTCTTGAGACCAAATGCCTCACATGGTACTCCTTCTGGGATACTGCAGCTCTACACCACCCCTCACTATGGAAGATGTGTGGTTTGCACAATCTATCCCTAAATGAGTAAACGCAAGTAAGTAGATAGGAAAAGGTTTGCCTAAATAGGGACTTTGGGTGGGATTTTCTTAAGTACCTAAATGACCGAGGAGCACAAAAACCACTGGAAGTCATTGGGACTTGTGCCACTCAGTCACTTAGATCCTTGTGAAAATCCTACCAATCTACATTTTCAAGAGTGACTAGTGATTTGGGGGTGCCCAACCTGAAACACCAGTAAGAGCCCTGACTTTCAGAAAGTGCACCACACTCATGCTCTGAAAATTAGGCTCCTTTAAAGTGTCTGAAGATGGACACCCAAAAAAAAAAATCGAGGCAACCAAAATCACTAGTCATTTTTGAAAATGTAGGCTTAGAGCGTATCTTGAGGCATCCGTTTTTAAAAATCTTGCCTATAGTATTTTACTAATGAAAAACAGAAGTGTGTGTGTGGAAGGAGGGAGTACAGAAGAAATGTGAAGTGGCAGAGTAGAGAAAATAGGTTAATATATTGTCATTTCTAACACAGACTGCAGCTCTAATGTGTAAATCTTAAATATGCTTAATTTATCTGAGTGCCAATTCTTCATGTTCACAGGGTTACATTCTCTCTTTGAATCCCCCACACACAGCCTCAGTGCTCCTTATTTATGTACACCTGCCTTCCCAATAAAGACTAAATTAAAGCATGCACCTGCCGTGACTACACATCAGCCTACTGCCTGGCAGTCCATTAGCCATGTATGTAACATGCACAGTATTGGTGTTCTTGCCATTGTGTCTACACATACCTATACTTATACCAATGTTGCTCTTCTCAAACCCAGGGGAAGGTAGTATATTTTCAATGTAACCAAACTGGGGAGGAGAAACCAAAACAAACTCTAAGTCATCTGCTGCGGTGTCGGGGTCAGTAGCAAACAAATTGTTAGCGGTAATGACAGCTGAGAAACCCTCATCCACAACAAACATGGCACCTAGACACAAATGATATGATGATGAGTATTATTTAACTCAACTTACTGGGATATTTTACTAAAGAAATTGGCACAATAGCTGATGGGAAACTGCACTACAAACAGGCTGGTACAAATGTTTTCTAATCATGGTATCAACTCCACTTTCTCATCACGTAAGCAGGTGGGTGGGGGCAGGGGGAGGAAATCACAAAACAATTTTACTGATAAGCCATTAAGTATGGTTTATGTGCTGCTCAAGATCAGTTGTTACCTCTGTTTGTCAGAGCATTAATTGCCTGAGAGCTGTTACGAATTGCTCATAATGAACGATTTTTCATGCATCGGTGTTTAATTTCCCTGCTGGGACAATACTTCATTTCCAGAACATTGCTTGGGTGATAGGCTGCAAATTACAAAGCTACCCATACATATGTTTAAATGTTCTTTTGCAATACAGAACATATACCCAATGCCTACAGTAAATGGCATTATAAAATGACATTATAAAAGAAAAGATACATCCATAGAAAGTGTATCTTTATGACAGGCACTATGGGCCTGATCGGAAGCCCATCAAAGTCAATGGAATCTGTTGACAGATTAAATTTAGGCTATCAACTACAAGATGACTTATTTTCTTTACCATTTGTTTTTTGATCCTTGCAAGAACAATTGAAAATCTGGCTTTACATGTATTAAATGAATTAAGTGTACAATGCAACTTATCTTTGTCTTCATTAATTAACAGCATAAAGTGGAAGTACTATAAATATTACCCCTCTCCCTTCGTATGGAAAAGGCCAGTTTGTAAAGTACATGCTAAGAAGTAATAGGATAAAGTAGAGAGATATTTATGGCTATATTTTTGTTTTGCGTCACCCTGACAGTTATCTAATCTGGATCCAAGTTCAGTTCTGAATTCTTGTGACGTTCAGAGCTGTTTGGATCTGGGTTTTTAGTTCAGGACCATTTCTATTATTCTATCTGTTTATTACACAGAAGATTACTCAAAGGGCTGAAGTTCAGCCTAATTTTCTGCAGGCACTTGCAAGGATGAAAAGTGGGGGCAGATCTGAGTACTTGAATCTTTAACTACCTGATCTGCACACTGAGTCAAACAGCTAGGGGCAGTTACTCAGATTTGCACTTGAAATTGAATTCTAGGTGCAAACTGTGCCTGCAGAAAAGAAGGCTGCCTGTGTGAAAAATTGGTCGATATGATCTAAAAGTTTTGTATGTTTATCTTCCTGTCTGGTCAGTTTTTGGTGCTAGAAAATATTGAGAATCTATCCTCTAGCCAACACCAGGTTATTCAGGATATAAGATAATAGACTAGAAATAAAGAGGAAGCTTTTCACCAATTGCAATGGATGGTGGCTGGTTGTCCACTGGAAATACGCTGATGTTAAGGTCATATACTGGAAAGGAATCATGAAGTGGTACTGGAGGAGGAAGAAGTCCATCATAACAGCAGTCATTCACATCCATGCCAGCTTCACCATCAGAGATAACCAAGGTTAGGGTGTCAAAACAAGGAGTCAGGCCAATCTCCCCACCTGGAAAAACATGCTACAGATGATGTTCTACAATAAGAAACCAAAACTCAATGAAGCAGTGACTTGTATCAATTATGGGCCATCCACAATATTCTGAGGGTAAATTGTGACATAAAGACAGGCTAAAAAACAACAAAATTCAAATGAAAGAGCTGAAACTGCTTGGTTCTCTGTTTTTCAGAGATAGAAGCAGAGTCTTTATACAGCCCTCCTCTGTTGAAAGAGCAAGATGAAGAAATGGTATCTTAATCAATGCTATTTACTATAAATAATCTACTTTGTATCTTTTGCCTCCAGGGGTCTATTTCATACATGACCGATTAATGCTCAAAACCCCCTTTGTCAAGGAAGGGAGTTACTTGTCGCAAATCCCCTATGTATCAATGGAGAACAGGCCCATAATTCCTAAAACACTGACAATCTTCCTATGGAGGATGGAAATACATCCATATCCTGGACAGAATTGACAGAAGGACGTATGAAGAAGATACAACAACATCATGCCAGGATGTTTTTATAGACTTAAAAATATTCAGATCCATATGTGCTGCATATCCCCCAAAAAACTGACACTTCCAAACATGGTGGTTTACTGCTAAATGGACAACTAAATCCTATAATAATAAATGCTATTATGCCACCTCCAAAGTAACCTCAATTTTGCCTGAATAACCTCTCGGGGTGTAGAGTCATTTAATTCCTCATATCAAGAGTGACCATATTCAACTGCTTCCCTCCATGCTCAAATTACAGCTGCTCCTTTAACAACAGATAGAAATCACAGTGAAAAGGTCAAGTCTATTCTCAATTCTAGAACAAAATTATGAGCTAAGCATGCGCAGAACTGAAGATTCTGAAACAAGAGTTGGAACAATAGTGTTCACACACGTATAGAAGGAAAACACTTATTATTCAGGGAAAATCCTTGAAGAGTATTCTAATGGCCAAACTCTCAGGGAGCTGTAACTGGCCTTGATTTGCATGTGCAATCACCGGTGCTCTTTTGACATGCAAATGCCTGGAGCACAAAATGTAATCAAATGAATCCAAACCATCTATGAAGTTTCTAGAAAAGCTGATTTAATTTTAAAAACAAAACAAAAATAACCCCTTGCTAAAATTATGGTTTTCTGTCAAACCACAACATAATTTACCTTCTAGTGCAAAAGGATTGTAAACTCTCCAGAACACGTGTGTCTGTTGAGGACTCCCCCAAATCATTGGTGTTGTTCTATTGAATCTCTATATCACTCTCTGGAGTATAAAAATAATCTAATTTATCCAAACACAGGTGTGAAACATGTTCACAGTTGCAAAAAAAGTTAAGACTTTTTTTTTTTTACCATGTTCAGGAACCATATTTTAGTCTAGGTATTAAGCATGGTAAATGTATTTACAGGTAGAATCATGGTTCTACAGGTAGAACCATGATTCTATAAACTGGCTATGAGATCGCTTCCCATCCCAACAGGCAATTAGAAAGTGTTACACGACACATTTGGGCCACAACTATGTTTCACAGCTGTGTTTGCATGTGGTTATTTATATGCAGTAGTGTAGATGCAGGCTTTCAGCATGTGCTAGTGATGGAGCTGCCAGAGTTATCTGGATTTACACAAGATCCCAGAGCTATCTGGCTACACCTCCAATCTAATGCTCTTCTAGTCTCACTTACTAGTATGCTTGTAGGTCACTACTCCAGAGACAACGTCCGCTTGGGAGAAGCGATCCACAACGATACCAGCTTTCCTCACAACCCCATAGTAGGGCTGTCGAGCCAGCATAAAAGTCAGTTTCATGTCGTCGCTGTCTGCGTCGGTGGCATAAATGTACTCTGAGGTGATGACCACTTCCTCACCCTCTGGACATTGTATTAGGGGAATGAGGCCATCTTTCATGATTGGTGGCTCATCATTTACAGGTAGCACCTAAACAGAAAAACACACACAGTTTCACCTAAAGTACACATCACTTGTCCTTGCAAGCACAGTTCACTGGGAGGAAACATGGGGCATGCTCAACCAAAGTGAATGATTAGACTTGCAGATATAGAAAATAGGCCAAAAAATGGAATGAATTACATGCATCTACTAACAAAAAAAACCAGACAGAGGCAGATGGGAAGTACTGAAAGGCTAAAAAAATAAATAAATGAAAAGGCAAAGAAAATTTAAGAAACCAGTCTTAGCTCAGGCTGTATGCACTACCAAGTATTGTATACTAAATTAGTGACCACTAATCCTTATTTTATAACGGGATTAAATCCTGAGTCTCTCATTTAAGAGGATCTCACAATGAAGTCACAATAGTCAGACTGAAGTCAATGGGAATTTTGTCTGACTAAGGAACCGCAGCAGGGTTCAGTCAGCCCCATGAATAAATTTTTATCTGAAGCAGCAGTGCCATTCATAACCATCAGAAAACAAATGCATGCTGCAGTGCATCTTTGATAGGGTACGGATAGGGACCACTGGACATAAAAGACATATCCTGATAACTTGTGGCAGGGGTGGAAATCAAGGAGTATAGGCCTGGAATTTTGGGCCAAGTTCACTACTTGTCTAAGCCATGCAACTCCATTGATTTCAGTGGAGATGCATCAGTGTACACCAGTGGTGAATTTGGCTTTTCAATTTTATATAGTTGGGAGTTTACTACAGGGGAAGGAAAATTCTGCCTTTGCCAACTAACATTCTGGGGTTTTATAAGCCTTCAAGTTGTATAACAAAAACAATATGAAACTCAGATGATGCTCTTTAATGGATTACACAAAAAGAAAGAGAAAAAAAAAGAGAACAAATCCAAACTACACCTACTACAGTCTAATGGTTAGCACCAGATACTGGCAATCGGAACACTGTCGGCTGGGCTACAACTCACTGCATCCATGTCCTGGGCAAGCCACTTCACTTCTCTGTGTATCAGTTTCCCCACCCATAAAATTGGTATAGTAGTTATCTACCTCAAAGGGATATTGTGTGGTATTAAATGAATGGAAAGTGCTTTGTGATTCTCTGATGAAATGCAATACAGAAGTATTATCATCATCCCTAAATTTAATTATGGAGTCTGCATAACCAGTTAGGATTGTTGAAATGATCACTTAGTGCAGCTGCCTTGATTCAGGTCCAGCCAGAGGAACTGTGCATGCACATGGGTGTGTGTGTGTGTGTGTGTGTGTAAGGGGAGACAACTTCTACATGTGGCAATTCCTCGTGCACAGACACATGGACAAGTCTGTTTCCAATTCTCAGGATTCTCATCTCACAATATTGGATGTTTTCTTAAAGTCCCATTTCCTAGAGTCATGTAATCACACATTAGCTTTCATTTAAAAAGTGAGTTTCTAACCCTGATGATTGTAAAGAAAAGCTTGAAAATGTGACCTCAGGGAAAAAACATTGACAGTAAATAAAAAGAACCCCATATGTATTTTTTAAAAATCTCATAATTTTAAAGCCATTCTCATGATTCTCGGGGGCCCTGACTCATGATTTTTGAGCAACTGGGACAGCAACACTGCAAAATCTCACACATGCGATTCCCTATTGCTAGTGGGACACTGAGCGATCACAAACTGGAGCATGATTTGGAGGGGCGAGGGTTTACTAGATGATCTCTCTACTAACAGGTGGCCCACCCTATGAAAATGTTTGGCAACTCTGGCTTTAGGGAATTCCTGGGACCGATTCTAGTTCTTCTCTAGCAACTGTGCTTTAATATTAACTAGCACATAAATACACAAGGCTTCAGCACTCCAGGCACTTCTGCATATTTGTGCCCTGTAACAGGGTGGCTTGCCCCGTTAAGGGCTAGAGGCTTGGGGCCAGCCAACTCTTCTTACTAAGATGGCACACACCTGAGCAGGGATCAGGTGATTCCCCAATAAAAGCAGCAGGAAGCTGCAGACAGAGGGGGGATGTTCAGAGGAAGCTGTGGCAAAGACTGCAGAAGAGCTTGAGTGAGCAGGCTGAAGGCCAGGGACAGCGGATTCCATGGAAGTAGAAAAAGTATCCAGCCACGTAGGGCTGAGAATGGCCTGTCAAGGCTGGGAAGAGCTTCAGAGAGCAAACCCGAGGAAATTAAGAAGCCCCAGGACAGAGTTTTGGAATTGTGTCTTATGCCAATAAATTGGACCCTGATAGGAAGGGCATTATTGAACAAAAAAGCTTGTGTGGAGTTTTTTAAAGAAGCTCTTTGAAGGGGGAAACTGAAGTAGGGCGCTGCAGAGCCATCTCTGGCCACGAGGGGGGTGCTCTGGAGGAGGTTGTGTGATGATACATCCTTTATCTTTACAAATACAAAGTACAAAGATCTCAGAGGGACTCTGTCAGATCAAGTCCAGCCTCAAATTTAGGTTTTGTAGAAACAAACATTTACAAAACCTAATGGTCAAAAGATTTTGTGATTTTTCTTTAATTCCAGTGAAAACATATTGGTTTAAACACTTCATTGCAGCTTTTGCAAGCCAAGCCAAGCCAAGCATTCTGTGGAGTTATTAGGAACACAGATATGGAAGTAAAGTTTGTTTTTAGAAAAATAAAGGATATCACTTTGTGGTGTCCCTCTAAGTGTGGAATTTATATCTTCAGAAAGAAAACTCTCTCTTTCACTGATCTGACACACGCTCCATGTTTAATTCTGGGGATTCATTCCTGACAGTAGTGGCTAAGCAGGAGCAGGTGCAGATGTCTCATCACTTGTACCTGCCAAATTTGCTCTCTAACCAATATTGTCACATAAGCTCCAAAGCGAACAGCAAAAAGCCCATCTAGTCTAACTCCTTCCAATTTCTGAGGAGCTCTGAAGGCTTCAAAACTGATACTTTATCATTTTCTATGCGGATGAATGCCCTCATGAGTACAAGCAGGGAGCAACACACTGACCTTGACCTGTAGGACAAACTCTAAAGAATTAATGCCATCTGTGGCTGCAAAGAGGATGTCATCATGCAGAGTCTCAGAGCCATCATGCTGATACCTGTGGGAATTAAGTTCTGCACTAATTTCACATGGACAACGTGTCTCTGCATCAAGAAGAACAGCAAGCACTGCAGGACAATACTACCCAACTACCCACCACAACAGGGCCGCCCAGAGGATTCAGGGGGCCTGGGGCAAAGCAATTTCGGGGGCCCCTTCCATAAAAAAAAGTTGCAATACTATAGAATACTATATTCTCGTGGGGGCCCCTGCGGGGCGTGGGGCAAATTGCCCCACTTGCCCCCCCTCTCTGGGCAGCCCTGCACCACAATACAACATGGTTTCCTGACTCAGTTTTACGGCCTGCTCAGATGTGGCAGCTCATTCATCATGTGGTGATGATATAATATTATTTTTAATGCAAACTTAAGAATCTGCAGAGAACATTATAGGCCAGAGGCTCAGCTGGTGTACATTTGTTGAGCTCCATTGGGGTCAGACTTTGCCAACTCACACAAACTGAGGCTCTTGGAATTTAACACCAGTTTGATGGTGAGAACTAATAGTAACAAAACTAAAAGCAGGACCTTTTCTCACCTGATTTTTAACATGTGCAAGTCCTGCCAGGTGAACCTGTCACCTTTGTTCATGGGAAATCCATCCAGTTCTACCATTCCATGCAGCGGCAGCCTCTGAAGGTAGATGTGGAGGTTCTCCTGTTTTGTGTCCACATCTGACATCAGAATATGGCTCCCTGTAATGGTGCACAGTCCCCCTTCTTCCACTTTCAAGTTATTTGTAAATACCTGAACAGAGGGGGAGAGATGAATTACCATTTCCCTCTGCACCTTTAAATTTGAACTAGAAAGAGCATTTGGGTTTAAAAGATGCAACACAATAAATATCAAAACACCAAAGGCATAACTCGTCTGTCATATGCTGGGAGGACGTAAGGAACTTACCACAACACATAGAGCAAATATTGCCCCCAGCCACCAATCAATAACAGATGGATCATTACAGCAGTATTCTATCTGTCTAGTAAAACCATATTAATATTCAGAGATTCACTTCCTCCCTCCCTCCCACACACACACGTACCTCTGGAGCTTGATTGTCCACTGGAAGAACTGTAATATTAAAGCAGATCCTATACAAAGTGCCTCCATGCAGATTGCTGACTGAAAAAATAAACTGGACATGCTGAGGTTCAGGCCCAATGTCCTGGATAGGCGGCATATAGGCAACTTTCATGTAGTTCACAGCATGCTGAAAAACATGAGGAAAAAAGAAAGAAAGAAAGAAAAAAGGGAAACTGTCATTTAAAATCTTACGGTACGTTTTCAGAAAGATGACCTTTTCTTTGGATATGATCTGTGCCCACAAAATTCCCTTCTGAATGTTTGCACCCACATTTCAACTACTGGCACAAATCTGAGTATCTGCACCTCTAACGATGAATTAGCTAGATAGAGATGCAAAGACCCAGATTTGTGGAGGTACAATTTACAACTGGAAACAGAAGATGGGGGCCTCAGCTGGATGAGGTATGCCATCCCCAAAACCTTTTTTATATAATGACTTTTAAATAATCACAGTCATCAAAGTGTAGCTTTTAATACTACATTCACTACAGTATCTGTACATCTCTGAATTCCAGAGATCTCTGAATTTGTCATTAGCAATATTTATTATTTGCACATCCTTTGTTAACCCAAATCACAACAAGATATTAAAGTAGACTAAAACTATCAGCAAAGTCTCTCGTCCAGAAACTGATCTTATGCACCTGACTGAGTGGTTCAGGACTCCAATTAAAAGGCTATAAGGAAAACTGCTTTGCAACATTAACCATACAGTAAATTGTAATGGCCAGGCAGTTTACAAATGTTAATAAGAATGGGATTTATTGAACTACAGCATAATAAAAAACTGCAACATGGATGATAATTGAGGATGAGACCAAGCTGGGAGGGATTGCAAGTGCTTTGGAGGATTGGATTATAATTCAAAATGATCTGGACAAACTGGAGAAATGGTCTGAAGTAAATAGGATGAAATTCAATAAGGACAAATGCAAAGTACTCCACTTAGGAAGGAACAATCAGTTTCACACATACAAAATGAGAAATGACTGCCTTGGAAGGAGTACTGCAGAAAGAGATCTGGGGGTCAGAGTGGACCACAAGCTAAATATGAGTCAACAGTGTAACACTGTTGCAAAAAAAGCAAACATCATTCTGGGATATATTAGCAGGAGTGTTGTAAGCAAAACACAAGAAATAACTCTTCCTCTCCTCTCCGTGCTGATTAGGCCTCAATTGGAGTATTGTGTCCAGTTCTGGACACCACTTTTCAGGAAAGATTGGACTTTCTCCAATTTGTCCACGAGAAGAGCAACAAAAATGATTAAAGGTCTAGAAAACATGACCTGTGAGGGAAGATTTAAAAAATTGGGTTTTTTTAGTCTGGAAAAGAGAAGATTGAGGGGGGACATGATAACAGTTTTCAAGTACACCTCATAAAAGGTTGTTTTGAGGAGGAGGGAGAAAAATTATTCTTCTTAACCTCTAAGGATGGGACAAGAAGCAATGGGCTTAAATTGCAGCAAGGGAGGTTTAGGTTGGACATTAGGAAAAACTTCCTAACTGTCATGGTGGTTAAGCACTGGAATAAATTGCCTAAGGAGGTTATGGAATCTCCATCATTGGAGATTTTTAAGAGCAGGTTAGACAAACACCTGTCACAGATGGTCTAGATAATACTTAGTCCTGCCATGAGTGCAGGGGACTGGACTAGATGACCTCTTGAGGTCCCTTCCAGTCCTATGATTCTATTAAATTATTTAAAATTAAAACAAAAATGTGGATGCACAGAACTACACCAACAGAGTTCAGCCAATGTGAAAGAATCTTAGCGGCGATAAGAAACCAGACTGATGGGGCTTTGCAAAACCCAAACCATGTCCAGGTTGAACCCATCTCTTACCCTGACATTATGCCCAACTCAGGTCAAATACTTAGAGCTGAATTTGTCTCCAACACAAGCAAGTGCAACTCCTTTTGGTCTCAATAGGAGCTATGTCTACTTATGCGAGGAGTGCAATCATGGTAGACACTTCTTTAAAAATATGAATGGAGTTAGCTGAATTTTGAGTTTGTTAAACTGAGATAGTGATAGTACTGGCTAGGGCTGGTTTCCACTTCTAAGCCTCATGAAAACCTGAAAGGAAGTGACTTGAGGAAAAATGACAGCACCACTGGAGCCAGTTCTTAAAAAGGGTATGGTTCCAGTATGGTATCACTTAGTAACAAACCTGAGTGAATGATCTCAGTGCTGGAACAGAAGGATCCTTGACTAGCTTGGGGATGCTGTCCACCATAAACAACTTCCCAGCATCGGAGGGGCTGTACAAAGACACAAACACACTATGCGCTGATTAGAATAACTTCTAATACAGGAGAAAAAAATCTTACAATTCAATCTTGTGCTTCAACACCACCAACCAACCACTAGCTGCATAGAAATAAAATTCATTTACTTTTCTTTTTTCATTATCATAAATGTCTTTATTATGGATTTCAAACTGTGACAGAAAACTGAACAAAGGAATCATGAACCAGGAACCGGCCACCAAAAAGTAACACATACTTTACTATGAACAAAGTCCTGGACTTCCACACCAAAGTGTCCCCACACATTTCAGGCACTTTGATGATTTACACTGGCTGAGAATCTGGCCCTTCGCATACCTATCACTTGATATTTTCATTTTTCTTTAGATAAAAGAAATTCTATATTACATCAAATTCTTTAAATTTTTCATTAATCTTATAAATAAGAGGCTCATGTGAACCAATTTCTGACAACTCAACTTTCTAGTCTTTTAAAAGTGAGACACAAGAACTTTTCCACCTCCAAGGACCAATCTTTTGGCAAAACAAAAGGCAAACGCAACCCATTTATTTTTTCAAAATAACTTGTCCCGTGTATTGAAGACAAATCACACAGCAAAAATAATTGATAACATTGAAAACATTGAAACAGAATTTTCTAGTACTGGGACTTTGCCAAACAAAGTGCATCAAAATTACAAATCTCTTATTTTAATTTTTATATACACACAAAAAGCCCCTCCAAAGAGACCATTTATTTGCTTTGGGAGCTTCAGCATGATCCCTACAGGCTATTCTGTTTAACCTCTTGCAAACAATTTCCGCCATTTTCTTTGCAAGGCCTTTAAAAATACTTGATCCACTCCAAAGCTACGGTTTTATTAAGATGACCTAAGCTCTTCACATTCTTATAGTTATTAGAAAGATCTCATTCACACCTTACGGAACAGTTTGGACCCACTTTTTTCAGTCTTGAGTAGATCAACTTCATATCATACACGCATATTAAAAGGCCCATCTCCCTCCTGTTATCCTCCACACCTGGCTTCTGAGTTCTCTCCTGCCCACTATAGGCTTCAGCTGCAGTTCTTCTGATTAGCCCACAGGCTTGTTCAAGGCTATTAACCATGTACCCACCTGACAGATAACCATACCACTGAGTTACAGATTGACCCTCTGCTGGTCTGGCCCAAAACAGAAAAGTGTTGATCCCCTGAGCTACACAGTGGTAGTAAGCAAAACTCTTTCCTCTTGGTAAATTGGAGAGGATACTGGTGCTGAACTCACCAAATGGGCCACCAACCATCCAATGGGCCACAGTGAAATACAAGGTGAAGTCAAACAAAAGAAAAAAAACATCTGGATCTGTCTGTTCTCTGCCTCTCTCTTTTAAACACTTGATGTTGCCCCTCACGTCCTGTTGCTTTAGGCTTTGACCCACATGATTATTAACACACTAAGGCCTGGTCCTGCAACTAGCTCCACATAGGTAGGCCCATGCATGCAGGATTGGGAACCTAGTGTGTGCACCCAGGCAACAGCCTTACTTTGCCACCAACACTTCCCCTGCCACTTGGTGCCTGCCCATCTCCTGTGATGAGGAGTGTACATTCACTCTCACATACCCATGAGTAGAAGAGAAAAATGGGGAGGTGGTTACTGTGTAGATGAGTTCTCTCTCTTGTGCTTCCATGTCTATGAAATGGAGATGTTTCTTAGTTAGATGAGCTATCTTAGTTTCCTCGACAGCGAGGTGACGGGTAACCCCAGAAGCTTCTTTTGGAAGCTGATCATCCACAGGAATAATATGCACTATCACCGCCTAGAGTAAAGAATACAGAAAAATATCATAGGGTTGGTAGAATGTTGGAAACACACTAAATGCTCTTAGAATCATGCTTATAGGAAACCACCAGAGTTAATTTAGTTCATATTTAAAATATTTGAACAAATCTTTTAAAATGGAAGCACATTTTTTCATTTAATTTTTCCTCCATCATTCATACAATTGTAATATTGGTTATTCTTCCTTATTATTTGTTTGAGGACCTTACAATCAGAGCTGGTTAAAACTCTGAATTTCTGTTTTGTGGGAAATTTTGACATTTCAAAAGTTCTTTTTATTCTCATTTGGAACTAAAACAAATATTTTTGAAATTTCCTGCAAACCAGAAACAGAAGACAAGATATTTCAACCAGTAGTAAGTAGCAGCTGCCCTTAGTGATTTTATATATTCTGTTATTTTTATTTTACTTTTAAACTATTACATTGTCATGAAATAATGTAAAAATAATAAAAATAATATAGAAGTAAAAAACTTTTTAAAAAACCTAACATTTTAAAATTCTGAAATGAAATTTGGAAATCGGAAACGGAATTCCAAAATGATTTTTTTGTTTTGAAACAAATAACTTCTCTGCAAGAATTCAAAATGGTCATATTTTTCAAAATGTTTTAATTTAGATAAAAGCAACATTTTCCATCAAAAGCACATTTTGAGAAAAAATTCTGACCAGCTCTACTTACAGTTTCACTGTTTTGTTACAGTAGGGTTGTGCATAAGCACTGGTTGTCAAATATTACTTAAGGACAGGAGGGCACTGTACCTATTTTTTGAAACATCCACACAGAAAAATAACTGATGGACTAATGTATAATATATAACAGAAATATATAGGAGGGCACATTTTAAATTCACAAATCTTGGCAGTGTGCCTCTGAAGTCAAGGAAATATTAAATTCAGTCAGCTCAATCCTCAGGTGGTATAAATAGGTGCAAATCTATTGACTTCAAAGTGGCTACTGCCAGTTAGTACTAGCTGAGGATCTAGCCCTTAGAATGAATTTGGTCTTTCATTTTAACACCTGATACAGTCTCCATTAATGCCTTTGAGATCTGACAATATTCTCCTGTCAGACAAAAATTAAAGAAAATAGGGTTGCTGAGTTATAAACGAGGGGAGAATTTGGTCTGGAGAATTTGGCAATAATGTGCACACAGAAAAGGATGCAGCTTGGTTTTCACATCCTAGGCTGTGCTTTTAGGACTGGCAGTTAGAAAGAGGGAAAAATCACAAGGTTTTCAACAGGTAGGAAGGTATGCTGGTGTCCAGACATTTACTCCACACTCTGCAGCGGCAGCTCCAGGCACCAGTGCTCCAAGCGCATGCCTGGGGCGGCAAGCCACGGGGGGGCGCCCTGCCGGTCCCTGCGAGGGCAGCAGTCAGGCAGCCTTCAGCAGCATGCTTACGGGAGGTCTGCCGGTCCCACGGATTCTGCAGCAATTCAGTGGCGGGTATGCCGAAGCCGCGGGACCGGCGGACCTCCCACAGGCAAGCCACCAAAAGCTGCCTGACTGCCGTGCTTGGGGCGGCAAAAAAGCTAGAGCCACCCCTGACACATTGCAAGAAATCCTCAAACGTAATACCTGTGGCTCTGAGAGATTGGGAGGGTCATGGCTATCACACAGGACAAACTCAAGGGAATCCTCAAATATTTCTCCTCCTAAGTGACGGTAGTAAATTAATCCATTAAACAGATCTCTCTGAAGGAAGCCAGTGACAGGATACCCTGTTGAATCAAAGAATAAAAGAAAGCGCATTTCATAGAGTTGTTTATAATTTTAATCACTGGTAAATTTGATCATCTTGATCCTCATAAAGAAGAGACCTGTTATATGGTTTCTCTTCTTTCTCCAGTGCATCCACTGAAAGAGATTAAAAACTCCATCTTTATATCAGAAACTTTGTTAAAACTTCATAATTGTTCAATATGAAGTAAGAGCATTCCCAGTGATGGCTCTGAAGCCCAGTGATGAGGAAAAAAGGTGAATTTATACAAATAAAAACTATCTAACGAATCTAGCAAAGGGATTCTGTGTCCAGGTGTGAAATAAAAGAACCCGCATCCCCCACTCTAAATTTAGCACCATCAGTGCCATCCTCTAATTTTCAGCTTGGTAGGAATCATTGCAGCAAGAAAGTCTCTTGACCACCCAAATTCCTCTAGCCAAGAAAGTACAACAGAAAAATATTCTTCGATTGAGATGACTCTGGGTTAAATTCTGCTCTCGGTTACACCGAAGTAAATCCAGAATAACTCCATTCAACTCAAAGGATTTACACCAAGGTAACCATGAGCACAGTTTGGCCCCCACAAAAGAAAGTTCATCTTGCTGTGGATTTCTTAGATTACCTATAAGCTTTGGCCCTGGTTTCTTCATGATTTCTCCAGCCTGTGGTGGTTTGGTAACATTAAAGAATATGTAGTCATCACTGGAGTCCATGTCAGACGCTTGAAGCATGGAGCCCTGGATCAGAACGGTCTGCCCTTCATACAGTTCAATTACAACATTGCTGATCAGGAAAGGGGGGCTGTCATCTTTAGGCAGGATATTGATTGGAAACTTATGGCGAATACTGTGGTGGCCATCAAAGATCCTAAATACCACAAAATCTTTTGTAGAGTCACTGTCATCATGGTGGTAGCGAACAACCCCAGCCCTCAGGTCAGAGACCGTGAACATGAATCCTTTCCCTCCTGTCAAAAGAATGAAAGAAGACGGTTCAAAGATGTGTAATTCAGCCTCAGTATGAATTTTATTAAGGGGGGAAATACATGTCTGAGTTAGAAAAACTCATTCAAAACCTATCTAAACAGAAAGTATTAACATGGCCCAGCATAGTTACTAAGCTATGTACTTTGCTAACAGTTACACAACTGTGGTAGCAAACGCAACTCCCCACAATGTCAATGCTGTCATATAGATCATTTGAAGACATCAGTGTTTGCTATCTACCACTGTTTCTTAAAGCATCAGTCACAATTTATTTTAAGCCCAAAGAGTATATGCTCTCTGATTACAGATCAATATTTCATTGTAAGCAAAAAGTAACATCCATTATTAATTATTATTATTTATTTGTACCTAGAGGTCACAGACAGGGATAGAACCTTCATTGTACTCAGCACTATATGCTCACACACAACTGTTCATTTAGGTAAAATGCCTTGAGGGTCAAATTCTGACTCTAGAGCAGGGGATTTCTTCAGGGGCACAGGGGCAGAATACTCTCCCACTTCAAGGCTACGGAGCACCAGCACAGCCATCCCCAGCTGCAATAGTATTTCCAGACCCTGAAATTCCCTACTGGAGGAGGGTTTCTACCATAGTTGTGGATCCAATGGTTGCACACACACAATGCCCCGCAAAAAACTCCTTGTGTGGTGGCACAGAGAGAGCTACATACAACACTGCTTTACAGTGCACAACAGGAGCAAAGTTCCCCTGTGAAGCCTCTCTCTCAACAGTTATCCCAGCTGCCATGCCATAGGACCATACCAGTTCCCAGGCTTCAGAAGCCTTCTTTGGTCCATAAGCAGGCCCTATGATTTGGCACGTAGTATTGCCAAATAATATAACATGGCATACTAAATAGTTGGTAGAAATGTTGAGCCTAATTCAGTGCCCACTGAGGTTAACAGGAGTCTTTCCATTGATTTCAGTGGGCATTGCCTTAATTAGTAATCTCTATCAAACTAGTTATGCTTAACTGGAATGCTAAACTCCAGGTTTGGATATCTAATCGACTTGTACAAGACCAAAAAAAAAGATATATTGTTGAAAAGTTTATTGAGGGCAAGGTTGTGGATTGCCCTGTGTGCCCATGGAATGGAGTTACTAGCATTGCTGGGAGAGCAACTTCGGTGAGCCAGATACATCTGGCTGCACAGGTGTGTGGGGAGTGGGAGGGAAAGGACTGGAGTATGGGAAGAGCATTGCCCCTACCTCCCAACATGCCAGCTGGTGCATCTCCGGTATACAGGGAGATGTAATCTGCTCCGGGTAAAGGGTTGAATCAGAACAGCTCCCCTCAAAGCAAGGAGGGAACCAGGGACCAGATTGTGATTCTGAGTCCCAATTCTCTGTTTAGCCGCTGGGGTAGTACAGCTGCACTTGCCTTACTCATGGCTAATGGTAAATCCACAGCCCAGCCCTGAATTTATATATTACAGGGAATTCTGTGAAGTAATTATTTGTAAAACGACAACAATACACAACTACACATATGATGGAAGACTCCAGACAACATCTTGTTGGAATACAGGACATATATCCTTTCGGATAGTTTCTTTTATTTTCCTTTTTTAATATTAACTTTATTGTCTTGCACATACGTGTTTAGATCTCATTTATATTTTTCCACATTTGAAAATTCAATAACATTTTTAAAAGTTTAATGGTTTTTCTTTTATTACAACCACAGGATGGATTTCTTTTACTTAAACATTTTCCCAAACACAACAGCATTGTGCTAGTGCATAAAAACCAGAAAGTAAAACTGACGATCTCAATGAAAATGAAACAGGGCAGTCTCATTTCATTGTCAAGCCGAGTAAAATGTAAAAAGTATCATAAATAGCAACGTAGCATAAATAGAGAAAAATCACTTAGCTCTTTAAAATTCTTTCAGTTTTATAATCAAAGCTATTAATAAAAGAAGAAAGGATTTTTAAGGATATGATTTTTATATTGATAATGTTTCTTTTTGCTCCAAAAAAACTACATTAACACTCTGGAACCTCTCTCTGATTATACTCATCTATGGAGCTACACTAATGTAAAAATGGTGTTAATGGAATAGAGAATTAAGCCCTACATTTTCAAAGTAATAAAACTATTCCTCTGCACTTACTGATATAAGGGATGCTTAAGAATATTGTAATGGTATGCAATAACATTCACTACATGAAAGATTATCACCCCGAAAAGTCAAGTTTGGACTTGATTTACTGCAATATTGTAAAGGAGTTTAGGTCCAAAATTTGATCTATTTATAAAAACTTCTATAATCTGCTGGAGAATAAGCTCCAGATTCTAAATAATACCTATATTTACTTAGAAGCTTTCCTCAGTTAGCAAGCTCCACTATTCTTTAGCCACATCTTTAACACAGTAGTGGCAAAGGAAAATAATTACATTTGAGCTAGGTCACATTTACTCAAATTGAGTGAATAGTTTATTGAGATATAGTTTATTTCCTTAAATTCACCTCTTTTTAGAGGATTTTTTAAAAAATACCCAGTCTTAATACTTTCCTCTACATTATTATTATTATTCAACAGCAGTAGAAGTAGCCAGACAGCAGAGGGAGCAAAACTATTAGGTAACAAACAGTAAAGTAACAAAACTGCTCCTAAAATAGTATTAATGTAACTAAAGACATCATCAAGGGTGTTTTTGATAAATAGGGAAGGAATAAATCCATGCAGAGCAGTTCTAGTTTTTCCTCCCTCTGTTCAAATGCTGGTCATCTTAATGTTAACTGAAATCCTGTATAGAACATAGTTTCAAAATATTTTAAATCAGATACTGTTCAGTCATTTAGATCTTTGTGCCTATCAGTTAACTATCTACACACACACACACACACACACACACACACACAGAGAGAGAGAGAGAGTCAGCAAAGGGAATAAACTTCAACAAATGTTTATAAAAAAAAAAGAGTAAAGATTGGACCTTTCCATCAATCTTTTCCACCTGTGGGGCTCAAACCATATGGGATTTGGATCCAAACTAGCAAAACCAAAACCATGGCTAATGTATACGGAGTTTTGCAAAAATAAAAACACCTCCAGTTTTGCTCTTCTCTACAAACAGCATAGACCAGTATAAAGACATATTGGACCTTACTGCCTTCCCAGAGATATTGGTTTTACACTGGTGTAACTCCATAGATGTCAGTGGTATTTAGGCATCTAACTCTCAATGATTTCAATGAGAGCCAGGGACCTAACTATCTTTATTGTATTCGATCCACTAAAGGTGGAATGCACAATTTGTTTCCAATCCCTAAAGAGGAAATGGCAATTTACCTCTTACAGTGAGCCGTCCATGCTGTAAGCCGTCAATTGTGACCAAGCGAACACCCCTGATGTTGTCATTGTCCACTATTTGAAACTGTTGCCATGTGATTGGTCGGGATTGCCCTTCCAGGAGATCGAGGCCTACAAAGAACAGAGAATAGGTTCAGCAAAGCGTGTGTTTATAACTGGATGAGATTCAAGGCTATCAAGTGTATCTATTGTAGTGCTTTGTGCAAATGGTCAGGAGAAGGAACAAATTAAATTCCATCAACATAATTGCCTTCAAATAGGCATTTCAAAAATAACCTAAAGTCCTACTATCAGCTTTCATTCCAGGCACTTTTACTTTAGTCAATGCCCCTCAGATCTCTATTACAGAGGAATAAAACAGTTTGGTTCCCAGCTATCTAACAGACCAACTTCCTGCCTATATACTTTCCTGACAGTAAATCAGCTAAGGTGTTCCTATTGAGAGCTCATAGACTTGAATATCCAGGAGATGGGAGGCTGGAGTTAGTGGAATGCCTTTGGTTCTGGTATTCACTTCCTTTGTCAATGCACTAGAGCCCAAAGTTGGTTGACCTTCAAGGCACAGTGCATGGCCCAACTTTTTACTTAAGCATACATTTTAGGTTGGGTTAGATATGTGGGCACTTTTCTCTAAGGGAAGGCTGAGGACTGTTCTTCTCAATACTCCCTTCTATTGTGACAACACTGCTTCTATGGTCATCTTCAGGTGTTAGAGATGGGTTGGCTACTGATGGGGTCTATCTCAGAGATCAAACTCACTGCTTGATTTCAAAGGAATAGCACTGACGTGAATTTGGTCCATGATGTGTTTTCAGATTATGTTCTTAATAGTAGTATAAATGTACCCATAGGTTTTTGTGACTAATGAATATTTATAAATATTAACATAAAATAATACATTAATATTGTCAAAACAGCAGATAAGGCTAGAAAAGCCACACAACTCTCTGACACCACTTTTAACTCCCTCTCCAACAGAATCCATTGGCCTGATTTAAGACATAGATCGTTCCTCACAACAGCCTCTCAGTAAATAACATCAAAGTATCTCCTAGCCATTATGATCATCTAGTTTGACCTACTGCATAACACAGATCATAGCATTTTTCCAAGTGATTCCTACAACAAGTCTGTAACTTCTTTAGGATTGACCTCTGAACAGGAGAAGAGCACAGGTTGTGCAGATTAATATACAAGGAACAAAGGGAATTATATGGGAAACAAAATAGGAAGGAATGTATTTTTTTAAAAGTGGCAGAAAGTAAAATGTAATCACTGTATTTAATTAAGATACAGAATATCTTGATTTTCTCATACCCCCATTTCCTGCTTCTGTTACTCTGCATTTTTATTCTGACATTTGTTCTAGCTTCTATGACTGGGTCACACCAAAACAGAGAAGGAGAAACACACACACACACACACACACACACACACACACATCCTGAACTTTGAGCTGGTCAGACTGTGGATCCAAACCTGAACTTTGTACACCTCTACCTCGATATAACGCTATCCTCGGGAGCCAAAAAATCTTACCGCGTTATAGGTGAAACCGCTTTATATCGAACTTGCTTTGATCCACCGGAGTGCGCAGCCCCGCCCCCCCGGAGCACTGCTTTACCGCATTATATCCGAATTCGTGTTATATTGGGTCGTGTTATATCGGGGTAGAGGTGTACCTTCAACCCATCTCTGCATCAACATACATTTTGTAGCAGAATTCACTCAGTGAAATTCAATCTCACCTGTATTCCATGAAACCCGAGGAGCATTTGTATCTGTTGTTCTGATGGAGATATGCACAGTGATTGGTGAACTCCTTTCAAAGTAGAAGTCATGAACCTCTAACTCCACCTGTTATATGAAAAGACATACCTTTGTTGAAAAAACAGGTTGAAATATCTTTGTCTATGTGTGATTTTTAGGCACTCTAAACTTCAAGGGATTCGGATAATATGACAACCAACGGAACAAATCTAAAGTAGTTCAGTATGTTATTCGAACCCCTAGTTTTCTGTACCACCTTATAGCTCTGTTTTTCTGTGTTGTGATCTTTACAGGTAATGTAGGGAAAATAAGATTAAATATGGTTATAAATTTATATAAATGAACAGGAAAGATACACATTTTAATTTGCACTAGGGCGGACTATACTCACACAGAGGTTTTGCAACAATAAAAAGCTTTGGGGTACATTTCCTTGCTCAGCTTCTGCTTTTTAAGTCTATCAGATGCAATATGGTAAATAAAAATGTGAGGAAAATTAAGTACAAGTTGTACAAAAAATAAGTTTTTAAAAACAAACACTTCCCAGGGATTCTTGAAGGTGAGCCCATCAGGCAGATTTTTACTTACAGTTTCCTCAGACAGCTGCTATTATTGCTTGAATTCCTGTGAGGGTCCCATGACCCTGCTGAACTAAAATAGACATGCCCTGTCAATCTACTGGGATCAGACTCAGGTACCACAATATTTTACTGCATAGACCTTGTCACTCTATTTCCCTGCCTATTCCTTCATCCGTTTGCCTTGCCTCTGACTTCCTGTCTTTTCATATATCTCGCCACTGTTAGAATGAGCCCCTTTCCGCATCTCCTGCCACCTGCAACTATCTACCTGGATCTCTCCCTGGACTCTTTCTCTCATCAAACTGCTTTTGAAAATACATACTTTCTGTCCTACCTCACCTCTTCTGTCTCCTTCCCACAGTGTACTATTATTAAATCCTGTAACGCTTAACGCCGCAAAATATTTATATCAAGAATAAAATATCAAGGAAGACTTCATACAAAAATAAGTAAAACCCAGTGGCACAGACCTGACGTGAGGAACACAGCCCACTGTTATGGGCAACGCTGGAAAAGATGTGCAATTCATTTCTTTAGGACGTAAAATATTTCTGTAATCTTAGTCTCACAACTTGGCGTTTCTGATGTCAATAGATTGAGGGCAGGTCAACATTTAAAAAGCTGCAGCAGCGCAGTTGAACCTCTGTAGCACTTCAGTGAAGACGCTACTACACCGACAAAAGAGCTTCTCCCATGGGCACAGTTAATTGACCTCAGCGAGAGGCGGTAGCTGAGTCAACAGAAGCCCTCCCGTCGACAGAGCACTGTCTTCGCTGGGGGTTAGGTCAGTACAACTGGGTTGCTCAGGGGTGTGGATTTTTCACACCGAGCAATGTAGTTATACCGATGTAAATGTGTAGTGTAGACCTGGCCTAAATAAGTAGTGAACAGCAAAAGAACACCTGATTTGTGGTAAACTGATAGGTCAGAATTAGTGCCAGACCTCATAATGAAGTACAGCTGGGTAGTATACTCAGCAGACAGTACCATTTAAAATTCAAAAGAAATAATAAAATATACATAGGGCTTGATTCTGAACTCACTCACACCAGCAAGAAACTTGAGTAACTCCAATGAAGTCGGTGGAGTTACCAGATGTAAAACACGTCAATGAGATTGGAATCAAGCCTACTGTCTGTATATTATACAAAGAATTTGCCGCTAGGTTGCAGAGGTGATTTGCAGTAAATAGTGACCTCAGTAGATACAGAGAATGTGACTCTTGTAGCACCAGAGGTAAGAATGTATGAAAATGTGTGAAAGGAAGTCAGTGCTCAACAAATGATGGGCAGGGATGTAGAGAGATAAGATCCCTTAAGTGAAACATTTTGGTCAGGCAAGGTTGAGCTCTCCAGTAGACTGAGGGGACATTTTAGGGGGTCTATGGTAGCTCGCCAGGGTCACAGGATTCTCTTTCATGGGAGTCCCAGCAGTAATAGCAGCAGACTTCAAAGAAAAATGTCATTAAAATACACCTCACATTTTAGTGAGGTATGTTTCATATCAATAGAAAGATTCCTTTTGCTCATAGATACCTATTACAAATGAACACATCTATTTATAACTTACTGAATGCTAGAGAGGGGGAAAAAGAAGAGGCTCTGTATGTCCCGTTGTTACCTCATAATTCCTCCTCTCTGTATGGCTGTTGTTTGGAGGCTGATATGCGATAAGCATCTCACTGAGATCTTTCCACGTGAAGGAGGTGATAGGCTTGGTATGGTCTAACAGATGAGTGATGTAGCCTTGTGGGGGTGGCTTGGTAATGTTGAACACTAGCAGGGATTTGGGTGTTTCACTGTCTTCAGCATCCACCGTTGTTGTTGTCATGGGGCTCAAAATAAACTGATCCACCTCCAGGATGAACATAGCCATGAAGGCAGCTCTGGGGATTTGGTTGGGAATGGCACCTTTGATTTGGACAGGGAGCCATGCATGCTCTGTCTATGAAAGGAAAAAGAGTCAGGGCAGAATATAGGTCAAGTAAGATTTTATATGAGTACTCCAATGGTATTTAAGCATACTATATGCGTAAGGTTAAGCACATGTTTATTTCCTTTGTTGATCTGAGTCCTAAAGAACTAACCCACTGGTTTTCAACCTTTTTTCTGTTGGGTTCCCCCTGCCATTTTATGGGAAGGGCAGGATAATCATGACCCCCACATTGAGAACCTATGAACTATTAAGGAGCTGCTTTGGCCCCACCCCCTAAAGCTGCAAATCATGCCAGGATTGGAGGAGGAGTTAAAAGGAAGAAAACTCCACTCAGATGGTGGGAACCTTGGGAAGGTAACAGGCTGTTGAGCTCCCCTGTTCCCAGAGAGAGGTCTGCCAGCCAATAGTGCCTCTGCTCTTGCAGAAAGGAGGACACAGATCCCCTGGGATAAGAAGTGGAAAGAGACTGAGACTTATACTGGAGACCCAGTGGACTCGGGGGCAGACTGTGATATTTCCAAGGCCCTCTGAAGTGAGAGAGGCCAATATCCTCACTGAAGCTGCCTATGGGTTTCTTGCTTTTCCTTTCTGCTTTTATTAAACTTTGTTTGCTGACTGTGGATGGTTTTGTTTGTTTCACCTGCGATCCTGAGAGGGAAAGAACCAGCCAGAAGGCCTTGGCTGGAGGGTTGAGCACTGGCTCCTCTAGACTGACATGCCCCACAACTCCGGCAGGGGTGTGGGCAATTAGAGCCACTTGCCTGTGCTCCCCATCTAGCTCCGGAAAGGGGTGCTCTGCCCAGGACAGATTCGTGACAGCATCTCAAAGTGGTTATGCTGACATTCATTAATGCTCACTGCCCTACTGTGATGTAGGTAAGTGGTGTTATCTGCAGTGTACAAATGGGGAAACTGACTCACAAATATGTTAAAGACAAATTCTAATTTGGGGTGATTCTGTTTTTGGGTGCTCAACCTGAGATTCCAAGGGCCTGGTTTTCACAGGTGCTGAGCATCTGCAGCACCTATTGACTTCAGCTGAAGTTGTGCGTCTCAGTGCCTCTGCAAATCAGTTCTCCAGTATCTTAGGTTGGGCTTCCAAAATTACTGTCTACTTTTGAAAAACTGGTCTGAAGTGATTTGGTCAGGAAGGTCACATTAGTAGCAGGCCTAAGAATAGAAGCCCTGACCTTGAGTCCTGTACTTTAACCACTATACAGGCTCTCACTATGAGGTTATTACGCAAAGTAATTCAGTTACTGATAATGATTGTGATGTCATACATAATGATTTTTCCTATTCCTCACCATCCCACTCCTTCCCTCCCCCCTTTTTTATACCTAGTAATTGCTTCTCTGAGTACTCAAGTTATTGGGCAGCATTTGTCCCCAGTGTAACTCCATTTACTTCAGTGGAATTATGGCAGCCATTAATTTGGCCTGTTGTCTACTCACACAAATAAAATCATGAACACAACAGAATACCAGAAACTACACAGCTGTATAAAACTCTACCTTGTGCAGCGTTTTGCTTCTGCTGTCTGTGAGGTCCAGCCTGATAGGAATATAATCAATGTTGGGTGAAGGAGGGTCAAGATGCTGATATCTAATTCCCATCAGCAAAAATTCCTCACAGCTCATTTTGGTGTTCTGAATCATCTTCAGTTCTGGAACACAGAGCCCACTCCTGCACCTTTGGCTTGTTCTGTGCTCTATAATCCAATAGAAGCTGTAGTAAAATATTTGTTTAAACAATAAACTTGATAAACAGTACAGGAACGCTCAGCTAAAAGTGCCGTAAAAGGGCAATGTGACATAACATAGGACTCCTTCCCCCCCCCCCCCTAAATAACAATTGTGTTGGGTTGACTGACATTTTCCAGCTCCAACTTCACTTTCTTTGTTGTGTTTCTGGTCACGTTAGCCTTTCATTCTGGCTCAGATATTAATCCAACAATACTATGCCCAAAGCCTAGAAGCTTTATTGTAGACCTTCAAAGACATAGCCAATCCTGGAGGCCTGAGCACCCTTAACTTCCATTTTATCCCTAATATCCTCCTGCTCGCTCTGATTCTTAGTTGCATCACCACATCCATTTTAAGTAACAGATCTTAGCAATGCATATGAAGGAAACTATTGTGGCAGGTATTCTGTCCACTCTCTTTGCAAATGTTGTTAATACAAACAATTAAAGCGTATCATACTGGATCTAGGGAAGAAGCTATGAGGTTGATCTCCACGAGGCTCTTCTTGCTGAGGTTCTCCAATGACAAGTTGACCATGGGCTGGTAGAAGAGTTTCTAAAGAAGCCAGTTTGATGGTGCAGTCCAGGTTTGTCTTCTTGTCATAGTCAAAAGTGAGCACATTCTTGTCAATCTCCCTGGACAGGCCATAAAACTCAGGGACCTCCAGCACATTGGTGCTCATTTTGATGATATTACAATCTGGCTCAAGTAATTGCACTTGAAGGATGAACATTTCTGTGAATGTTTCCGTTTCTGTAAATCTGTCGAGGATAAAAAATAATTAGTAATATGTCATTCCAACTTCCCTCCATTGCCTGTGAACTCAGCATTATCCTCAACTCTGAAATTCCCCATTTCTGCACATCTCCTTGTCACCACATAACTAGGTGGTCAAGTTTTATGACCCTGATAGAGATGCAGGGCTTTTCTCCTGACTCACCGTGGTATTGAGGGCTCTGGCTTGGAGGTGCAGAGTTATTTCCATGGACTCATCCCAAACCAGGTTGTTCTTATTTGTTTGAATCCAGGATAATAAAGGATTTGATTGTCTTATAAGACATCTTGAATTCAGGGCCAGGACAAAGGTGTCTCAGGAAACAACAGTGGGAACAACCAAGCTCAGGGAATTTTATGGCTGCTGTCATGTAGGTGAGCTATAAAGGTGTTCCCAGAAATACATGAGTGAGTTTGCACCCTATCCATTGTATGTGCACTATGCTAGAAAATACCGGGTAAGAATGCTACCTACTTACATGCCATCTCCATGACATTGCCAGGGTATGCCACTTCTTCAGATTTACCACAGCTGAAACTTATAAGTGCCTTCTCACCTTGATTATTTTGACCCCTTCTCTGAGGCATCTCCAAATCTTAGATCTCCAGACTCCAGAAGGTGAAGAATATTGCAGCCTACCTTTTCACACGTATAAAAAATGTGATCACATTACCCTCACTGAGAGACTCCACTGACTCCCTATTCATTTCAGGATACAGTTCAAAATTCCCCACGAACTTGTTCCACTTATCTCATGAACCTGATTTCTCTCTCTCTTCCCCACTCCTACAACACTATTCCAGTTTCCTCCTCTTCCAATAGTGGCTTCTGCTCTGTTTCTTCACATATCCTTGCTATTGCTGATCCACAAATCTTCTTTGTAGCTCTTGCCATCTGGCTGTGCCTTCCTATACCTCCTCTCTACATGCTAATGAGATCAATTAGAAATCCTGTATCATCATCTCATTGATCTGTCTTCCTCTAAGATGGATCATGTGATCTAATATTACACTGTTCACATGTTATGGAAGTTAGACTTGCACATCTGATGTGATAAACAATGTCACACCTTTAACATCAAAATGGACACAGGACTCTAAAAGACTGGAATCTCAGGGAGGATGGGAGGAGGAGGTCAGTGGAAGAGGTCACCCAAGGAAGAGAAAATGACAAGCAAAGAGAGAGGTGGTAAAAGACAGAGCCTATATTGAACCCTGACATACTACAGATTTCATCAAGGGAAACATTGTATCCCCCCATTCTTGGCACTTTAATCCACTCCAATTCCTATATGCCATTCCTTTGGGGGCATGGACGAGAAGGATTGTCCAATGATTAGGGGACTAGGGTCTTGGAAGGTACTGCTGTGCTGCAGACTTCCTGTGTGACCTTTGGAAAGTCACTTAGCCTCTCTGCCTCAGTTCTCCACTTGTCAAATGGGGTTAATAGTATTGTGCGATCTCATAGTGATGTTGTGAGGATAAATATATTAAAAACTTATGTTGCCCCAATTACCATCATATCCGAGAACCTAAGTGCCATAAATAGAGAGAATGTGGTAGAGTGGCAGCAGGCAAGTTTGAAATATTCCTTAAAAAAAAAAAAAGGAGAACAAATTATTTAAAGCCCCAGTGGAAAGGACAGGGATAGATCTGTTGTGCATGGCACAATGGGGATTCTGTGCTGTTAAAGCACAAAGGGGCTGCTCTGATTTATACCAGAGATTATTTCAGGCCCTGATACAGCAGAATCCAGTGGGCATAAACTTTCAAGACAATATGTTTTTGTTTCCCATCTAGGAAAATGATATCTAAAGAGGGATCATGAGAATTATTTATGGCCTGATTGTCATTTCCTCGCTTACGTTGAATAGTATCTTACTCCACAAGAAATCCCATTGACGTCAAAGGGATTACTTGTGGAGGAAAGCACTGCTCAGTGGGAGTAAAGGTAACAGAATCTGACCCTTAATGTCTGTGCAGCACTTTGAGAATGTGATGCACTTTGTAAGTGCTGTTGTCAGTATTAACAGTAACAGGAAGAATCAGTCAGTTTCTGTAGTATACAAATAAACCAATGTTTAGTAATGTCAACAAATATGTTATCAGAGTGTTTCTCATATATATTTTGACAGATAATACTATAAATAGATCACAGCATGGGTTATTGGTTAATGATGCCTTCCAGTGTACATAAGTAGTTACTGCAGATATAAATGGAAGAATTTTTATTTGCCTGAAAAATGGACTGCTTTTTCTTCATGAAAAACAGTTGTTTTTACTAGTGATAATAATACATAATGCTTCAGTGCTGCTTACCTGTACAGCCTAAGCATGACCATGTCTTCATCTAAAATTGGACAGCCATTATGAGTGTACTTGATTTCATTCGGAAGGAAATGACAGTCAAATACCTATTGAGATGGAAAGAATAGATAAGTAAATGCTGTCGAGAATGTCAGGTTCCAGCATTTCCTTCTTCTGTTATCTGATTGTCAGAGAAGTGTTCTTAGAACAAAGCGCACTTTTTAATCTGTATTTTGTTTCTACAAAACAGAAGTCAGACTTTTGTTGTTCAGTGTGTGACAGACTATCCACATCCTGAACCAACTTCACTGAATAAAAATTAAACTTCACTGAATTAAGTTGACCATCTTTGCAGGTCATTGTATTAGAAATGCAAAGGTTTATGCACCATTATGAGATGTATGGAACTTTATCAGGAAGACAAGATTAATGCAATCTCTGGAAGGTATTAGGAACATCCAGGGTCTTTTTTTGGAACAATAAGTGTGAAGTGGATTTCCTAGGAAATATCTTTGGGTGAGGGGAATGCAAATTCTCCCCTCCATAGCCAACCTTTCGAAGATACCCATTGTGTAGGAGCTACCTGTTCTCAAAGACCCCCAAACCATATAAAGTGTGAGTTAAACATGTTGTGAGCATAATGCATTTGAGCTGAAACTATGATGAACTGGTCATCCCAAGAACTCCCCTTGGGTGGAAGGTTGGAGGACTGCTCCTGCCAGAATCCATGTAAGGGTTGGGGTTAATTCTGCTAAGCTCATTAGCATGCATTTTGGCTCATTTATTATTTTTAATATGTTTTCTCTGTAATTTTTTAGTAATGTCAACAAATACGTTATCAGAATGTTTCTTGTATATATTAGCTTAAGAATGAAGTAGGCTTGCATAGGAAGTACTGTGTGGTTCTTTATAACTGAAGCAATTACATCTGTTAACCATTTCTGAAGGAAAAGCAAGCAGGTGTCCTTGGGCAACCTGTCTGTGCTGGGAAATACACAGTAAAGGCAGGGAACTGTGCAGCCTGGAAATACGCCAGTCAGAAAGGAGAGACACGTGACTCCACCCAGAAAGGCAATGGCTGGGGAGCCGGAAGCCTGAGAGCGGGTGCCCTGGCTGGACTACTAGAGGAAATGCAGGTGCAGTTGCCCTGAACTGTAGTACAGAGTTAGCAAAAGAAGCAGAGAAATACTGGGCACCAAGGGGCGACTGGTATTCTACAATTTTAAAAAGAATAACTACATGTTAGTTTCAGTCAGAGCAGCACGCACTTAAATTCCATTGACGGGACTTGCTTGAGTGGTTTGCAGAATAATGATGGATTCGCACATATACTCAAATGCTTTGCTGAATTAATGCCTGATGTGAAGACAAAGATGTATGTCATCAGTGTATCTATCACAGGAGGCAACTTTCCCCTAAAAGTATTGGGCCTTCCATAATCAAAAGCAGCAGCTCTTCAGCATTCAGCAATAGCTCAACCCTTTGATAATAGGATAGTCATTAACTAATGCTGGATGAAAATACTGCCTTTTGTTTCTTTCAGTAAATTCCACAAAACTAGAATTTACATTTCTTTTATATTATGAAAGTATTTACATTGCAACAGCTTGTCAATGTTTAAAAATATAATGTGAATTTCTGTTGTATGTTGTTCTTGTTGACTTGAAGCCAGATGGTAACTGTCATTTGTTTCTGGGGTCTTCAAATATATCCCCTGACTTCAATTTTCATAGATAAGTGCACAGCGGAGAATAATATTTTAGGGTTAGTTTGTTCTCCAAGAAGATACAGCTGGGTTAAGATAAACTTAACTAGCTACAGTATCCTGGAAATAATCAAACCAGATTCATTGTTGCAACAAATGTTCTACTTTTTACTTCTGTGGAAGCAGCCTGTGCGAAATGTGCTGGCTACGCTACTGTCTGAATCTCTTGTTCTTTTGAATCTCTCTTCTATGCCTAAGAAAAACTAAGCAACTCCTAAAAGGGTGCCTTGTGATTTTTCAGTACGTAACATAACAGTGAACAACTTTATCAGCCTTAACTTGCCTTTCTCTTTCCTTTTTAGTGATGACTTTGGTTAACATACTAACATTAATCAAAGTGTTGTGAAATACATGTTCTCTATTATAGAGTGGAATGATATTTAAATATTATTTTAATTAGTAAACTAGAAAGTGTTAATTGAAGTTCTCAAATCATGATGTTAAGAAAGAATACTCAGCTGAAGTTAGGACCATTTGCCTAAACAACAAATATGCACAGTGTACAATTTTAAAAAACCCTTCCTGCATGCTAGCTCTCCACAGTTCAATGTTGTACATTAAGGGTCAGCTTCTCAGCAGATGTAAATCAATGTAGCTCCTTCAAAATCCATGGCATTACACTGATCAACACAGGTTGAGCATCTGGCCTCAGAGTCTGAGAACGCAGTTTTCATCATGCATCTCTGGTTTTAGGCTGTGTGATCCACCAGAGGATAAGGTTTAGCTTATGAATAAACATTTTTACAAGACATCATTAGTTCTTGTTCTTAACTGATAACAAGGGAGATTTAAAAAAAATGAAGGACCTTTCTACACAAGCCTCCTACCATTGATAGATAGTGATTATAGAATAAAGACACAATCTGCTTTGTTAAAAGAAACATCTGTTTTATGTTTCCTAATATGTTTTCCTTTTATACAAACAGGCAACTGTAATTGTCTATAAATTTCCTAAGTAAAACAAAGGAGAGCTAAATCTTTTCCTAATTACTGTCTAGCTTTATTTTTTCCACTTCAACTGCTTTTCAATTACAATTTATAATTAAATTGTCAAACATTCCTAGCACATTATTCACTTAAATGACAATAAACCATATCAGACTAGAGACAGTTTCTGACTGCCGCATTTCCTGGTTGACAGAGCATGCTCAGCACCAACCATGGGCAGCTTAATATCTTTACTCAGGTTAGGTTAACACTTTAGGCCAGTGCCTAGGACTCTGCCTTCCAAAGTCACGTGATTAGATTTAAAAAGTTTCTAGCCCTAATAGTTGCAAAGAATAGATTGAAAACATGAGCTGAGTGGAAGTGTTGCAGTGACATCTGCCTGAGTCTTCAGACAGCCTCCAGCAAAAGGAAGAGCAGCAGAGACTAGAGTCAAGGATTAAGCTATGTGGCTCCAAACCCAACAGCAAAACAGAGCAGGCCTCTTCACACCAGACTAGACCCAGGAGGCCCTGTTGGTGCTGCTACTACCCCACAGTGCCACCCTGCTGCTTGTTGATAAGGAGGGCCACCTTCACCAGCTCAAGAGGGTGCCCTCCCAGCTCCTCTGGATGCTGGGGGATTGGAGAGGAAGGCTCCTTGCTCCAAGTAGCCAAGGTAGAACAGGGGCTAGAACAGAAGGTCTTATGAGAGGGCCCTGGCCACTGAAGGAAGAGGAAGAGGTGAGGGTGAGAGGACAGCTTCTGGCTCCGTTTTCCAGGTGTCCAAGAAGTAAGGTTGTGGTGAATACACATTCCCAGTGCTCCTGGAGACGCGGTTCCAATCTAGTGCTTGGCACAGCTCAGGGTAGGAATACAGCTCAGCTGCCTGTTTCTCAAGGAGCCACTCCAGCCCTGGGGGATTCACTAGGGCATAGAGAAGTCCTGGCCACTCCCCTCTTTTCTCCTACACATGCCCCCAGCATCAGAGGGTCCAACAGGAGGAGCATGTAGAAGCTAATTCAGGGTCTCTGAACCACACAGGGATTTTTCCGCACTGGCGGAATCCTCCCTGAGGAGTTAAACCAGTTCTACAACTCCTTTGAGTCACCTGAGTGGCACAAAGAAGCTGTAGTGGGAACAGCAGGTACAGGAGTAATACCCCAGCACCACTACTCCAGCCTTCTGCCCTTGCCCTTACAGTCTGCACATGCACAGGCTCTTAGAGGCAAAATGTAACTCTCAAATCAGTTTCGATAAGCAACTCTGGTGTGAAAAAATTGTTATCCAGCCCACAGATACTTCAAGAAAAAGATTTACTCTGGGTAGTTTGATACTTCTGCTTGCAAAACCAGGAAGCAAGGAGAAGACTATACATATATTAGACTGCATATATTAAAGTTAACCCTACCTTTTCAAATCTTGGGGGGAAATAAGGTTTGATTATGGTTTGTTTTGCGTCTATTCATCTTTTATCAGTGCCAGTTTGTCCAGGCTTATTACTACCAATAGCTTCTTTCTAATAAACTCAGATGATGGAATTTACCAGAAAGATTAGATGAAAGGTGTTCATGAAGTACACTTTGATGTTGCTACATATTAGACATTTAAAGAGAAAACAAAATCCTTTTATATATTTCCCATCTGTTAGTAATCTGGTCGTTGAGAAGCAGAACAAGAAACACTATATGCAATGTGCTAAATGTATGTGATGATTACTTTTTAATTGCTCCCAATGTAGTGACTGCGTGACTAAAATGTAAAGAGTTTTAGCCTTCTATGCATTGCCCTAAGGACACTGGTTACCCTCACTAAACACAAACAAGCAGCTGGTAGACTACACACTGGCTCCTAACAGAAAGTTCTGAAAGAGCTGCTGATTTAGTTCATTACAGTGGAAACCAGATACTGGTCACCTCCACCTTCATGTGCAGGTGTTACTGTATTCATGAACAAAATGTTTTCAGCACTAGGGATATAATTCTCATCCAACCAGCTATTTTTAATAAAAAATTAAATCTCACTCACAAAGGCAGTGTATTACTATGCCTGTTAATTACTACCCCACCCTTTCAGATGACTGTTCCTTACAATAAAAGTATTTCACGTCCTTTAAGACACACACGCATACACACACTACCAAAGACAACAGTGCAGTAAAATTCTGATCCCACATACCTGTGGAGTTAGTTTCCCAACCCTCTGTGTTATTGGCTCATTAATCACAACTTCCACTTTGCAAGCATCTTTCTCTCTGGGGATGGAAAACTGCAGGTCATCTTCTGACAGGAAGACAGACTGGCCCTTCATCACTTTCACCCCAAGGTTGACACTGATAAAGGAGGAGCAGACGCATCTCAGGATAACAGCGAGCAGTAGAAACAGACAGCTATTCTCAAAAGGCTTCATATTATTAGGGAAATCCAGTTCCCTTCAACTAGTAAAAGTCCTAAACAAAAGAGGTCTTCTCTTCGTTCTCCAGCAGAGTTTCACCATATAATCAAGGGAAACATCTTTAGTCGCAGGCAATAACGTACTCTATGTTTTCTATTAAGATGTGCCCTTGTGATTGAAATTTGGACAAGGGCGGCTTTCAAAGTGTTCTTGGACTTTAATAAAACTCGTTGATCAATCGTGACCAAAATGATGGATGTGCTTTCAGAGTGCTTTAAATGTCTGCTAATCCTGCAAAAGATAGAGGGGAAAATGGCATGAAGCAGTGAGCATCTATTGAAAAGACAGGCAAAGAGATCTTTCATCAGTCCCACAACTTCAGTTCATGTCAAAAAATGGACTATTTAAAAATGGCACCAATTCACTCAACAAATCTGCCCCTTCTATGAATTCCGAGTTGTTCCCGCTGACTTGAAGTGAACATACATACACACTAAATCTGAAGTATGTATAGAATCGTATATACAACTACTCTTTACTACTGTTAGCACTGCGGCGCCAACATAGCTATGAGAGACTGAACTGGATTCCAGTCTGACTGGTGTATCAAGACAATAGCTAAGTAAGTTCCAAATGGAGATAGAAATAGTTCTCCAGATTCAATACATCTGAATGAAGGGGGGAGCAGCAGTCTGTTTGTTAAATCTACTACTGCATTGCAATGATATGTTGAAAAAAAATCACTAGCCTCCAATTTAATAGACCCTACCAAGACCCAACGCTTTATTCTCCCTCCACTGGCTCTGCCGTAGCAGGTTAACTGGAGCATGAACATAAGTACAGGGCATGATGTTGCATTACAACATTAAAATTGTTGTTGCTGCTCCTGTCAAAACTGAGAAGGGGTTGACACTATCAAACTATCAATGGAAAAGGGAAATATCTGTAGGGAAAAATAATTATTTTCAAAGATGTCAGTGAAAACAAACAATAGGAAATAAAAATGACTTAAAGCTCTTAGTTAGAGTTAATCTTCATCCTTCTGAGGTGGATAAACTGAGTACCAGTAAGTTTATTTTGCCTGTGGTTCTTTGAATGACACATTTATAAATGAAGGACCCTTTTAAAAAGCAGCCGTACTCTTCTTAGGAAAAAAAAGTACATCTATCTAACTAGGTGCTTAGTTGACCCTCATCTCCTTAACACCTGAAAGCAGAAGTTAAAATTTCCCAAACTAATCAAAGATGTTTCACAAAGTTTAGAGAATGACAGTATTTTAATTAAATCGGATAAGCTCTTAAACCTCTCCATGATGGTAAAGCTACAGGTTCTGACAGAGATTCCTTAAGTTTCTATGAGAAATTTTCTAATACTCTCACCCCCTATTTATACAGAATGTCCAAAGTAATGAAAATTGTACTGCCACCAAAATGATAAAAATCCAGAACTGCGGACCTCTCATTGCCTCACGTCCTTCCTTAATGTCAACAGTTAAGTCCTTGCTAAAGTGTTTCCCAGTAGACTGGCCCGACTGCTCCCCACAATACTGATCAGTCTGGCTTTATATTTTATTGAGCAGCCAACAGTAGTTGTAGGAAATTGTTAAACATTATTTACTTCCTACAATACCACAAGACTGAACCGCTCACTTTGGCCTCAATTCAGCAAGGCACTTAAGCATGTGCCTAGCTTTAAGCATTTGTGACCTCAATGGAACTACTCACATTCTTAATATCAGGCACATGATTAAGTAATTGGGCCCTCTAAACCTCAACTCAGAGAAGACATAGGGTGGTGGGGGTTTTGTTTGTTTGTCTTAATATATATTTGCAACACTAGAAGCTTTCAGTTTGGGTCTTAAATTATATGCATGGGTCAGACTATTTCAGCAAAATCCAACTATGACAGAACTGGCTAAGAACTTTAAACTAAACAGAGTTTAAACTTTAAACTTGCAAGAGGGACAGTCAGAGTTTTTCATTAGTCCTATAATTGTATGCATTGGTCACTGAGTCCCTACCCATTGCCCTTTGATCATCTTCATTTACTGAAGAAGTTAAAAGTGCCAACCATGAACTTAAGCTTTCACTCTTGGCTAACAACCTACTTATTCACTTCACCTCTCCTCGAAACTCTCTGTCAGGTATGAGATCTGCTTTTTAGGGAAGTTGTCCAGCTTGAAAACTAACTTAAATAAATTAACAGTCACCCCCCACTAAATCCCTGGACGAAATATACCAGTCACATCACCAGCAGCCACTTCTACTCTCTTGGAGAACAGACTGATGAACAATAGGAAACAGATTTTATACAAACTCCCATCTATCTTTTGAAGTGCCTTAAAATCCTCTACGCGATAAATATAGCATCAGGTCCTTCTACCCCTTCCCCATTTTGTATTCCAACCCCACACATTCTCCAACCTGGTCAAGTCTGAATAAGAATGTGGGTAGGAAGCACCAAGGATATGCCACTACCCACCTCCATAACCCATACAAAGGTAAGCTTGTATACAAACATGTGACTGGCTGTGGACCTGCCTGAGGACAGAAACAGATTCCAAATATATTTCTTCTCTGCTGTGTCCCATCACTACAATATGGTTCAGCGCCATTTCACCACATAACAGTGAGAACCATGATAACAGCTAATGAGCTGATGAGCCTCCTCCACCTACTGTACTTCAAACGTTGCATCCAGTGTGCTCTGCAGTATTTGCCTGCTGAGTCCAATCAGTGGCGCAGTAGGTACATTGTCAGTAATTAGTTAATGTGTACTATCCTTAACTGGATGGAATCAGACTGCTCAGCTGTGTGTCATAGGCCCTATATAGCTAGCAATTCATGAAACTACTTCTTTAGTTCAAGAGGTGGAGTTCTGTGCTTTCATAGTAGGAGGATCCTACTATGATCCTACACCCAGTATTGATGTGAAGTTCCAAGAGACTGTGGTACCCAACATATGATAATTGTGAAAATTTAGTTGGCAAAGATTTGTTACAGCCTTAATTTATAAAGTATGTTGGCATCTTTTTGGATTAAAAAAGGTGTTATAAGAAATCATTACCACATCAAATTCAGACCAAGTGTAAGTACAGCTCCACTGGCTTTCCTAGAATTGTACTCACTCACACTTGGTCTGGATTATGACTCCAAGAAGGCAAGTAATTTGCTGAGCTGATTAGAGAACAAATTGATTTATGTTGTTGCAAAGTATTTTTAAATAGTCTGCATTTCAATTGTGCTGTATATTAAGTATGACAAGGTCAAGCTTTTATATACTGGCACTGAAAATTACTTGGCATATGACTCTACCTTTTTTCTATCCTAATGTCCCAATAAGTGCAAGTCAATCAAGTGTCTTCCTTTTCTTAGAAGGGTTTTCTTCACATGTTACATCATTAGAGGATTAACAGTTTCATGAAAAATATCTTCAAAACTTTGGAAACAACAGATTTTACAAATGTGAACTAATACTTAACTCCGAGAAAGACCAAAACCAAAAGCACATTGCAGTAATGTATTCTGGCCCACCTGATTTACAGAATGTAAAATCCAACCTGAAATATATGCAGTGAAGATTTATGAATGATCACAGTGAATGAGCAAGTTACTCTGTTAAAACTATGGATGCAATAGTCTACATTACTAGCTTCCTTGTAGTTTCACCCATAGCAGAGGCAGGTAGACACAACTCCTCCTACCACCCACCTAGATGGCAGCTGAAACAAACATTTCCTTTGAAAGCTCTGGGATGTCTTGAATTATAGGATGGAAAGTGGGGCAAAGTCCTTTGATTCACACTGAAGTTCCTGATCTGTTTATATGTTGTAAAATACATTTTCTTTTCTCTTCAAGAAAAAAATCCATATAACATTTTATTTAATCATGGGTAGCCAACTAGCATTGTAGATGGTGTGTTTCACTTCCTGAGTTCCTACACCTGGTGTTTCCAGATCAGCATTTCCTAACACATACAAACAAGGGCAACCCAGGACAAAAATAAATCACCATCATAAGTGCAATTATTCAGGACATGAATAGAAATATATTCTCTCTGTTCATAACTATGTATATTTGTAACTTGTTCTGAAGGAAAAAACCCTCCAAATGTACTTACTTGCAGTTTATTTAAGCAGCTACTTAATCCACCTGGACATCTTTTTGGATTTCAACGTATTTACTAATCTGAATTGTTTCTACAGTACATGGTGCTTTATGGAAAAATAAAAGGTGACAAAGTCTCCACAGCTAAGAAATTACAGCCCAGGAGCCCAGTCATTCAAACCCTTAATGGGATAACTCACCTGAGTAAGGGGCTGCAGGATTAGGCATTAAATTACCCTACACAGATGGGTAATGGATATTACTAACAATTTAGTCTGGATACCTGTTGTTGAAGTTTGGCATGTATCTTGCCGTGCCAAATTATTAGAGTATATCAGCTGTAATCCTGGTATCCTTAGAATGACACCTCATCCCAGCCTCTAAATAGCAATTAAACGTACCTATAGTGAAGACTATTAGGGATCTTCCCTATTGCCATATTCTCTCCTTGCTAGAGGACATTGGCAGTGGGAGGGGTAGGTCAAGAAATGCAATGAGATAATTCCCTGGCTTCAGTCTTGAGGAGAAACTTCTAGGCTGAAGACAGAAGTCTGCAGAGGGAGTTGAAGAGATAATGCCAGCTCTAGCATGGCCTTTCCTACCGCACTCTGTCCATTCACAAGTGCTGCCATGATGCAACATTTAAAGCTGTGCATCGACTGCCAAAAGACAGAATGTTTCATCTATGCAAGCCAATGCAGAATGAATGAGGCACAGCTACTATAGAACTGGGACTGCTTCTCACCTTCTAAACCTTTGCCCAGTTACAGATAAGCTGCCAATTTCTTAAGACACAGAGGGTTTAGGTAGGAAGAACATGATTACAGATATTTGGGTTTGACTAGAACATTAACTATCCTATAGCACTTTGTCAATGACTGCAAGGGATCAGGCCCTCAGGTTTACATCTGACCCAACTGATGGCATCTCCAGTAGCTCAGCGCTCCCTAACACCAAACAGGTTCATTGGTTCACACTGAAAACTTTTCTTTTAATCCACAGACAAGATACAATCAGATACAGGGATGAACTGATAGATGTGTCCCCTGAAATATTATTAACAGAACCCAACACTATTTAGCTTGCAAGACATGATGGAATCAGAGCCTGGGCAGTATGACTGCACTATGAGAATTATTTAAAAACGGATATTGTTTGGAAACGTTATTGTTTACTTTATGTGCT